CAGGTAATAAAACTCTGTAAAATTCTGTTCTGATATATATTTTACCCAAAATGAATTCGATTTGGATATTTGTATAAATCCATGGTCTTGCAGTACCATCTACTGGTGCTGCTGTATAAAAGCATGTTACACTAGATTAGTTTGCACAGACCTTCACCTGATAACTACAAACTACATCAACAACAACAACTTACATCTCAGAATGTTAAACAATGGCAAGATTTGATGCTAAACCGGGTAGAAAGTGACTGTTGTCAAGAATGTCCTCTTGTAATCACTTCATTCCCAGGAAGACCCTGCTGACCTCCTCTCGAGAAGGATAATCACTAGTTGGTTAATAGGCATCTGGCAAGTGCAGGTTTGAGCCCTCACTCAGTAGAGATGGTACCAGGAATTCCTTGCTTCAGAGCTTCCTGCTCAAAGAAGCATAGCTCAACAAAAATTGTGTGAGAGCATTACCATCTTCCCGGCCACAGCTCATACACATAACTACCCAATGAGTGATGAATCAACAACAACAACTTGGATCTATATAGCGCCTCCAGCCCGGACGGCGTCTCAGAGCGCTTCACAATAACAGATCCCGGGGCCGAGCCAGGGGGCGGGGGAAGAAGGTGACCAAAGACCCGGTCGAAAAGAAAGGTCTTTAGCCGAGACCGGAAAACAGGAAGAGCGGGGGCGAGGCGAAGGGAGTGAGGAAGAGAGTTCCAGAGCCTCAGGGCGCAGTGGCTGAAAGCACAGCCGCTGACGTGGAGCGGAGGATTCAGGGGACAAGGAGGGGGCCAGACCCGGTGGAGTGAAGGCAACGGGCACTGTTGTGAGGAGAGAAGAGGTCAGAGAGGTAGGGGGTGCAGAGGAGTGGAGGGATTTGAAGACGAGTGAGGATCTTGAAATCGATCCTCTCTGGGACATGCAGCCAGTGCAGTCTGGCAAGGTTTGGGGTAATCGGGGAGTGGAATTTGATGCACGTAAGAATGCGGGCGGCAGAATTCTGGATGACCTGGATTTTATGAATGGTAGAGCACTTCAACCAGTTGGAAGCACAGAGCTTCAGTAGCAACTGCTTACACCTCTACACACCAATCAAGGTGGTTAATAATAATATTATTAATAATAATAATAATCCTTGCATTTGATATTGCGCCTCATCACGTCTTTGAGATGCCTCAAAGCATTTCACAGAATATACTGTAAAGTGAATTGACTGAATATTTTGTGGGCGAAACACGGAAGCCAATTGTGCACAGCAGTGTCCCACAAACAGTCATGGATGGAGTGACCAAATTATTATTATTATATTTTTTAAGGGATTATTACCCATGGAAAACCAATCTGCCAATCGACTAACAACCGGGTTCCTACTTACTGCTAGATAAACAGAGTTGTGTGGAGTAAGGAAACCTGCCTAATGTTTCATCCTGCCAGCAATCAAACCCAGGTCCTCTAGCTTGCGAGGTAAGTGCTCTAACCACTGAGCTATACCAAATTCTGGATAGAGAAGCATGTAATCACAAATCCAGATTCTGGCTAACACCTTCTCGCAGTTGTTGGCCAAGCCCTGGAGTTTCCTAATCAGCTATTTAACGCTAACCACCTTGATATTCCAGAGATCCAAATCCAATGCTAAATTCACTCATGATCAACTGCTTAATCCTCATGTGATGTGGCTTGACAAAGATGAGCCAAGATGAGCTGTGAAGCCATCGCCACCTCCTGGGTGCTCAGAAACAGATCTCCAGCACAAGAAAGGTCAGTTCAAAAACAGTTCAGCTCATTGATCTCATGCTTACCTGGGAGGAGGAGAATGAGTCTTGATGCTAAACAATGCAAGAGTTTTGTCTTGTCAGCAAAGCAATTTGAGTCTGTCACTTACCCCCGCTTCACAGTCAATGTTCCCAGCAGGTTTGCAGCCCATTTTACAGTTTTGTAAATTATAGCCCTGTGATCTTAACTTCGGAAGGCAATGTTTTTTGGAGAAGAGTTTTAAATCATTCCCAACAGCACATACAAATAATTTCACTGACATTGTTAGATTAGTGATAGTAAGTGAAGCTTAGAGGAATGGGTGAGATTGAATTTTCTCTTTGCATCTCGATGTACAAATGCAGCTATATATTATACCTTCAATCCCCATCACATTCTCCTAAACACTTACTCCAACCTTCTTTGTGGAAAAAAATCCCTCCATTTCCTTCTGCTTCAATGAGGATGAAGAAGACATATAAATAAAATAGAATGCACATCAAGAGCACCCACACCCTTCCATGAAGTTCCAAAAAACAGCAACAGCCCCTTTCGCTATATAAAAGAACGTCTCAAGGGACTAGATTAGTGTTATGGTGCCCATGGAGCAGGGAGGAGAGGGATTTAAAGCTGTTGAGTTAGGGTGGAGACGGTGAAGTTAAAGGGATGCAACAAGACAATAGAACAAGAAGTCATAAGTTTAGAGTTGCAAAGAGCAATTTCAGGACAGACATAATGAAGTCTTTTTTTTACCTGAAGAATAATTAATGACTGGAACAGGTTATCAGGAAGACTAATTGAGGCCAGGATGCAGGACTTGTTCTAAAAAAAACATTCAATGCTGTGATGGGAAGATAGTAGGGTGGGTATTCTGGAAGGTTGAGATCAAATGGGCTGAAAGGCGGTTCTTCTTCTGAACCAATCTTGTAATGTTGTGAAAAGATATTTTAAAAGTTTAATCAGGCTGGGGTTCCTCAAACCAATAATAAAATATTGTATACTGGGTAGCAGGTGGAATAGAGCTGTAATAATACTCACTCAACAGCTGCCAAAAAAGGTCTTCAGGTGAAAGGATTTGAATAAGGACAGGGGGAGGGATGGTGTTCCATAAATAAACTGTTCTGATGGTGTGATAGTTATCCCATTGACCTGATAATTAGCACATCACAAATGTTTATTTTTCACCCCCAAATATATCAAAACACACATCACAATCACACATACCCTTCCTTCCCCAGCTCTCCACTGGCCCATTTGGTTTTGGACTTGCCCAAAGCTGGTTACCTAATACTTACGTCCTGCGAATGGATAAAACATTCCGCAGATATCACAGTTAGTTGTAGTATTACAAGTTTGGCATCTTATGCATTCTATTTCTCAGAGATGACCAGTGTGAGCTACAATATAAAGTGTGACGTCCTCCCGATGTGAAAGGCGCTATACAAATGTAATTTTGTTGTTGTTGTTGATCAACAGTCTGGCTTGTCAATTACCTTCAGATAGTAGGAAGAAGTTCATGGAATTTATCTCCTTTGGGGTCTTACTTATACTTGTTTGACTTAATCAAGAGAATAAATAAGATGCATGGAGTCAATGAGAGGGCAACTAGTGCATAGAATGTGGAGGAGGCAGGATTGATGGAATAAATTACCTATCTCCTTTCCACTCCTTTTTGTGTTCTTTTGATTCACTGAAAGGTTTACAACATGGAAGGAGGCCATTGAGCCATTCTGATCTGTTCTGTTCTTAGCTCCCTCACTGATCCCATTGACCTGCTCTGCTCTCTCTCCATAATTGTTCCTTTTTACTGCACTTCAATTGAAAGAGTAGCATTTGGGACCTTTCTGATATTGTATTAAATCTTAATTTTGTTCAAAAGTGTCTCTCCAGCAGCAATTATTGTTTCCTTCAAAGTTGAACAAGGCTTAATTGTGAAGACTAAACAATAGTGATGAAGAACGTGAGATGAAAATCTATTTATGAGAGCAAAATGTGGAGTTAAAATACAGACTTAAATGTGAAATGTCAAATTGGTAAGACAATGTGCTGGGGCGAGAGACCTTGGAAGCTGTAAGTGTTTACTTATTTTATAAAAATGTCTGCGTACTTAACATGACGAAAGAAATAGGTGATAAGAATGGAACACTTTACAATTTGTGATCAGGTATAGAATGAGACAAAGAGGAACTGACAAACACTCTCTTCTGCTTCAACAATTGCCTTGATTTCAGAAGGCTATTTCCAAATGCACCAATGGGATTTTTTTCCCATTTCCTACACCAGCCAACCTCCTGTACTCTCTGACTGGCACATATTCAAGGCTTTCAAAGGTCTCTCGCATCACTACATTGCCCTGCCACACTTATCACACTTAACTTTGTATTGTTTAGAAACTCAGTTAGAAATTAGTTTGAGTCTATTCATACTGATTTCACAAGGAATATTTGATCCCACTGGTCTGGACTGTATTCAAACATAATGCAGATGAAATTTAATGCAGGGAGAAATGCGAAGTGATACATTTTGGGAGGAAAAATGAGGAGAGTCAATATAAGCTGATGGTACATTTTTAAAGGGAATGAAGGAACAGAGAGACCTGGGGTTCATATTAGCAAATCTTTGAAGGTGGCATGACAGACATAGATAAAGCTGTTAAAAAAAAGCATACGGGATACTTGGCTTTATAAATAGGGGTATAGAATACAAAAGTCAGGAAGTTATGATGAACCTTGGTGTCTCAAAAACAAAAACATTGGTTAGGCCTCAGCTAGAGTACTTGTTCAGTTCTGGGTACCATACTTTAGAAAGGATGTCAAGGCATTGGAGAGAGTGCAAAGGAGATTTACCAAGTTGGTACCAGGAATGAGGGACTTCAGATATGAGGAGAGGCTAGAGAAACTAGGATTAATCTCCTTGGAGCAGAGAAGGTTAAGGGGAGATTTAATAGAGGTATGTAAAATTATGAGGGTATTTTAATAAAAACAAACTGAAATTTTAATAAAAACAAACTGAAATTAATATACTTGTGCAGATACTTGTGCAGAACTCTTTCTCACAGGTGCTCACACGTCAATGTGTTGTTATTCCAGTCAAAAATCGCACAATAATAACAGCTACCAAGCAATAAAATCCAGAGTGAAATCTGTTGTGAGGTAAAACAAGTTGGCTAATGGCGTGAAGCAAATCAAACAATTTGAAAACAAGCAGTTGAGCTGTGAGATTTATAAGATATGAACGACAGCAGTGCGAGACAGGGATATAAGTGTGTATCGGAGATTACCACAAGAGGCAATCGATACCAATTTTATTGGTGCGAAGCATGACAAACAAAGCACAAAACCTTCAGAAACCATAGTCATTAGTTATGTAACAGAATTGTTAACAGTGGTAGTGAAATCTGGACAAGGGTTGATGTTAACTTATTACAGTAAAGCCCTCTATTTTTTCAGTCTTCTTGCTGGTAGGAATAATAATAATGCCTCAAAGCGCTTAACAGGATATTCTGTAAAGTGAGGTAACTGTGTTTTGTGGACAAACGTGGCAGCCAATTTCCGCACAACAAAAAAGATAATGGTGAGCTCTGAAGGGCATGAGGTCCCAGCTGCTTATAGAGCTTCAGATCAAATAGGTCTTTATATGTGGCATCCGAGACAATTTTATTATAATCTGCGATTGCGAGCAGCAACGGTAGCAGTGCTATAGCTGTGACTGAAGTTAATTTGCTACCTTGACGTGTACAGTTCCCAGCTCCACCCCTTAATAAGCAGCGTCTTGACCTCATGTCCCCCACCAAGACGCAAAATTAATGAATAATGTAAAATGCGCTGAGGAATAGTCTACAGGTTGGGCAAATACCCCAGTGGCTACACCATGTTCAAAACATGTGCAAGTGCCCTCAAGTGCGTAACCTGTCATTCAAAAAGGTATACGGAATCTCTGGTAACCCTTTCCATGGATTATTAATTACAATTTGCAGGGCACCTGTTTATATTTGAATATAGTTGGTACATGGGCTATTGGCACAACCTGCATATTAGGCCTCAATTGTACCCAGTTCAGGGTTCTATTTTACTACATAAAGCTTCACCCAGTAGTAGCTTCTCACTGCAGTTCAGGCTATGTTTACAATCAGTTATCGATTTACCCCGGCCATTATATCATCTTCGCATTACTTTTTCCTTCCAATTTGTGGCTTGCTTGGCTTGCTACTATGAGGCTCTTTGGGTTTAGCCTTGGGGGTTTCTGGATGCGGGGCAGCCTTGGGAGACTCTGGGGATCTTAGATCCCCTCTTTTGACTTCTGGTATTGGGTCTCCATGTTTGTAGACACTTACAGTGATATCAATCGTCTCACCACCAAACTTGTTCCTAACATTAATGCCGTACTTTCCAGAATCTTCCGTCGTGACACCTTTAATGGTAAGGGAAGCGAATTTTCCCTGCTCGAGCGTTGCTATGTAATGATCATTCAACTCAATCTCTTTGTCGTTCTTCAGCCAGGTTACTTCAGGAATAGGATCCCCAAACACGGTAGAAGTGAGACTCAAGGTCTGTAATGCAGAGCACAAAGAGTTCAGTGTTCACCAAGGCCAGCAGCTCTTACAAGTCATCGTTGCATTCACTGTTATAATCTGAACATTTTGTCAGGACACCTGAGTGCTTCCATGAAATCCATATATTTAGTCTTTCTATGATATTAGAGCAATGTTACACAAACAGTCATGGAAACGACCAACCAGTCTATCTGACAGATAAACAACAACTTGCATTTCTATAGCACGCAGAATAGCGTCTCAGAGCGCTGACTAGGATATCACGAGATATCTCCATCTCTGTTTAGTGCCTACAGTGAACTACAAGTGGTGATTTCCGTTCTAACTTCTGTGAAGGAGGCAAAGAAGATTCTGCACAAGGTTGGGCAGGATTGACATCCAAGCCCACCAAACTGGAATGAGACACACCTGGGTACATGCAGGATTCTACATAGAGAAATCCCTTTACAAATCAACATGTAGTCGATGCCCAATGTGAAACAGGCTCTTGCAGCTGATGTTCACAGTCAATAGGTATATATCACTTCTGATATGAAAGCACCAAATAACACCAAAGTAAATAAATTCTACCTCTGACTATGTTTTCCCCTTACCTTGTCCTCCATTATAGTTACCACATCTGGCAACCCTCCTAGTACTTTGCCACGATCTACAATGGAAAAAATAGCCATTAGCCAAACAAGTCAGAGCACACTGCAAGAGTATCGGGAAAGGGCAGGTAAAGAATAATAACCCTCGCACTTGGAATAGCACCTTTCACGTTAGGAGGACATCTTAAAATGTTTTACAGGAATTACTGTGAAGTGGAGTGATTTTTTTTCTAGGTGAATGCAGCAGCCCAATTGCGCACAGCAATGTCCAACAAACAGCCACGAAATGAACAACCAATTTTTATTTGGAGGATTTGGGGCCAGGACACTGGGAGAAATTCCAATATTTTTTTCAGAAGTGCGGTTGGATCCTTAACATCCACCTGAACAGGCAGATGGAACTTAGTTTAACTCATCCGAAAGACAGCACCTCCTATAATGCAGCACTCCCCCGGTACTGTTTTGGGTGCTAGTAAGTTAATTTCCCCAATATGGAGCTTGAATCTACCTTCTCACTCAGAGGTGAGAGATTCTACTAACTGAGCCAGACTAACACACAACACACTAAGCCAGGCTTGGACTGAAAGGATTGCTCTTTAAAAAAGCCAGCACATAGACAATGAACTGAATGGCTTTCTTCTGCGCTGAAAATTTCTATGGTTCTATAGAACATTAGTATCTATCTTAGCCCAGTAGTAGCTGATGTATTTATGACTTTGTGCAACTTGTCAACTGATCAAAGGCATTTTTGGTAAATAGGAAAATCAGACTTCGGTACTTACTCTTCTCTGCAAAAGCCGCTGCTCTAGAAATAACAATTAGAAAAATGAAGTTAATTTACTACATGAACACTGTACAAAATCTTTACTGTCTAGAAAAATGCAATGGGAGATGCATGAAATTATAAAAATAATAATCATTGCATTTGATACAGTGCCTTACCACGTTGTCGAGACATCTCAAAATGCTTCACAGGATATATTGTAAAGTGGTGTGACTATATATATATTTTGTCAGTGAATTATATTAAATAGGCAACAGCAAGAGGACAATGTTATCGGAAAACATTTTTCTACTCAAAGAATCTTGAATATTTGGAAGAATAGGGCAGCCCATGTGATGATGACAGAACAACTAGCCTGGCTCATTAATGGGAATGGTCTGGACAGACCTGTCACTGGGGGCAGGGAATCATCACACTCAGCTCCTGTTAATCCCGCAAGCCTAATGGATAGGGTGGTCCTAGCCAGACAAGCAGTAGGAAAGCTTGCCAGTCAGTGCTATCAATGGCAAGCTATTCCGATGGTTAGACGGCAGCAGTACCCCAACGTACACTCTGGGGTCCCCAAGTCTTGGCTCTTGCCAGCCTACACCTAATACTCTCTGGAATTATGTAAGCAGGATGTGTCCCTCCAGGGAGAGAGTGAACATTCCATTCCAATACAGGGAATTTCCATGTGTGGGTGGGATGTGTGGAATTTTCAGTTTAGTTTGGATATTTTTAGTAATTGTTTCTCGACGTGTCAGATATCCAGTTGACCAAAAAAAATCACAATGAATAAGTGGAGCCATCCACCCCCTCCCTTTCTCAATGATAGGCATTACTCTTCCGGCTCATGGATCACAGCCTATCACTGCTGGCTACCCCGATACCAGCTTTCTGATGGAACAAAAGCCTTAAAAAGCTGGTATTCCACTACGCCACAGTTCGAGGCTCAATGTCCAACACTGGGAATCTGGCTTTTCTGACTTCACCAATGAGAATAGCATAAAATAACATCACCCATAATTGTCATCTCAATCTTTCATGTGGGTAGTACAGGCAGAAATTGGGGACAGTCAAAACCAAGAGCTCCACTGGTTTTGTCATTCAAATAGCATTTTGTCATCTTCAACTTCTCTCATGATTTTCTGTTGTGAATCACGTTCATTTTAAAATAATAATCCATGCATTTGAAAGAGCACTTTTCAAATAGGGAGAACATCTCACAGCGCTTCACGGGGTTTGTGAAGTGAACACTTATTTTGTAAGTGAACACAGCGGCCAATTTGCACATAGCATTGTCTCACAAACAGCCTTGATGTAATTAACCATTTTTTATGTGGGGGATTGATTAGGACGTCAGAAAAAAAATCCCTAATCTTTAACATCCATCTAACCAGGCAGGAGGATGGCACCTCTGATATTGCAGTGCACCCTAAAGTTTCCACCTAGACTTTATGAGTTTAAAGTCCTTACTTGAACCCATAACCTTCTGATTCAGAGGTAAGACTGTTACCAACTGAGCCAGGTTAACACCTAAGCAGCCTATTGAAATTCTGTAACCTGAAATTAGGAGAAAACAATACATGGAAAACTTACTTCAGCCTCTGGAATTCAGCGAAAGCTTCAGCGTAAACTGCGAAGCAAATCGAAGAGGTAGATTAATATACAACCTGTAAAACTTGGTAAATATCCATGTACATGTACAAGCTTATCGTATACACTCACATGGTCAATAAATATACAGCATGTTTTTGTTTAATTTTACAAGTTTTGAGGTTTTTTCAATGCTGGAATTTGATAAATTTAAAAAACAAATTTTGGAAAAATATCACAAAAGTTTGCACCAAAAATGACTTAAATTACAACACAACCAAAGGGATTAATTGCTGTTAGGAATGGGATTTTAGTTCCCAGTGTCTTCCTGTGTTATTATTTCCCTGTGGTTATGTTTATCATAGTGTAGTGTCTACAATGTAGCATCTGCCACCCTTTGCTCCAACTTGTCCTTTCGATCTTGAAGTTGAGAACATTATTGCTTATTGCTCTACATTGACTGTTCTTCCAGAGTAAAGATGGATAATAATTGTAACTGGGAACACAAAAGTCACTTGAGACTTGCTCCATCATCACAGAGCCATTATCATTATAGCAGCCTTCTCCTGTGACACGTATAAACTTCAGAATACAGAATACCAAATCTCCTGCAATACTTCTACACCGAATTAATTCTTACAATAGAAGCTTTCATTTCGTCCTTCTTCGCCTTGGTGATATTGTAGGCAAATAGCAATTATGAAATAGCATTAGTAATCCTTGCACTTAATACAGCACTTTACACATCAAGACAGCTCAGTGCACTTCATAGGATTTTATTGTAAGGTGCAGATTTGATTTCATGAATGATATGGAAATGTCAAGTCAGATGGTAGTGGATGAATGTCCAGGGTAGACAGTTGCAGAAGGTAGGATGTCAGGTTAAATACATGTTCCGATGATTTGCTTTGATTACCCACGTGCCAGGAAAGAAAGTTCCTCGCCAGAAAAATTGGTTTAGAGGAGAGTTAACAATAGTGGAGCATATGGTACTTTGCCGGACATCAGAAAAAACTCCCTTCTCCTTTGGAAAGTGCCTTGGCATATTTGATGTTAAATAGCAACCCTTGCGTTTGATACAGTGCATTATCATTGAGACGTCTCAAAGAGCTTCACAGGATTTTACTGTGAAGCGCGGTGACTGTATTTGCAGCCAAACGTGGCAGCCAATTTACATACATCAGTGTCCCACAAACTGGCATGAAGTGAGTAACCAATTTTGATCAACGTTCACCTGAACAGGAAGATGTCACTCACTGCCCTGGAGAGTCAGCTGAACTGTGAGCTTTACATGAAGAGGAGTAATAGATCTGCATCTTATCTCTAAGTGTGCAAAACGGTAACTTACCATCTCCGGACAGGTCGAGACTCCTTTTATAAGACTGCTTGCCATCAAATATCTCCAAGACGTATTTGCCCTTGTCTCGGTCTGCCGGGTCACAGATGTGCAACCAAACTTGCTCAGAGCTTCCTCCGATTCTGCACTTTTCAGACGATGCAATCTTCGATTCTCTTTAATCCAAAACAGAAAGCTTGGTTTGTGGGAGGTTTTAGGCGTTCAGATTACTGCATGCATCCAAATGCCAAGATAGTGGCAATGGTTACCTAACTTCAAGGGCATTCATTTCATCCATCTACCAGTACACTTAGTCTGTGAGGAAGCCTGATTGTCCCAGACATACACATTAAAAATACAGCACTTGCCACAATGGCAACATCTGTCATCACCAGCACTCTGTTAGACCATCCAAACATTTTCCCAATGAGGCAGTAATGGGTCTCTGTACTATATATTTATTTCTTAAATATTTTACTTTTAGCAATTAAGGAAGACATTCAGCCCATCACATCTGTGCAAGAGCTAACTCCCCCACTGGAGAAACTTACTCTCATCCCATTCCTGCACTCAATCACCACACTCTTTATTATTATATATTTCTAGCAAGTGTTCCCTTTTATGAACTGCTGGCCTTGTTCCAACATTAAAAGCTACTTGCCATAAGGCAATGTGAAAGAATTTGTTCCAACACCCTCCCCTCTCTGTTCTGATGGTCGGTGATGAACCTCAGCTCGTTTGCAGCTCATCATTCAGAGGAATTACAACAACAACTTACATTTAGAGAGCGCCTTTCATGCACCTCGGAGCACTTAACAAATTTGTCCCAAATTAGTGAATTAGTGCCAAATTTTCTAGTCTCTCTATTGATCTGTAGCCTCCTATCCTTGGTATCTTCCCAGTGAATCTCTGTTTTGTCGACCCACCCCGACCCTGCCCCCCCCCCCCCACCGCCGGCATGATGTATTTCTGTAAATGAGATGCCCAAAAATCAGACAAAAGTTCCCACTTCAGATAGGGCAAAGCCTGAATCTCATAAAGTGGTCATCAAATATTCTGCAGACAACAAGAATGAGAGCACTGACACACACAACTGTTTTGGTTCATTCCCACACCCAGTAGACAAGATCTCTGTATAACGTCTCATACAAAGGAAAGCACCTCCAACAATGCAGTACATCCCCAACACTGTATTAGAGTGTTAACCTACACTGTAAGTATGACCACACACAATTTTCGGTGAAGTGACAGTTATCCCTGGTGCTAATTAGCACATCAAATATTAGATATTTTTTGCAACCCCAATATACTTCATTATACTACGTAACCTCGAAATTACCTACAGTAGCCTATTTATTTCAACGCAAGTTTCGAAACAGCTTTACATACTTGTGGTACCAGAAAACTTTCATGTCTTCCATATAATACTTCACAGATGCCTGAAGTCTGATGCCTTCTGGAGTGCACTGTATCTTCAGCTGAGAAGCAGATTCCCCTGAAAGAGTAACACACTTCAGTCAAATGTAAAATAATAACAATCCTTACAATTAATATTGCATTTGCCCCCTCCTGACTCATCTTCAGATCACACCTGAAGACCTTTCTCTTCGACCGTGCCTATATTCACCTCCCCATACTCTCCAGCTCGGTGTCAAGCTCTGCTCTATCAAGCACTCTGAGACGCTACCCTACCTGAAGGGCGCTATATAAATAATGCCAGTTGTCGTTGTTGATATAGCACCTTTCACGTCAGGAGGATGTCTCAAAGGGCTTCATAGCACTTATTAATAATAATATTAACTGAAAATTTACTGTGAACTGTCGTGATTGTGTATTTTGTGGGCGAACACAGCAGAAAGTTTGCGCACAGCAATGTCGCACAAACAGCCAATTTTATCTGGAGGATTGTCAGCCAGGAGACTGGGAGAAACTCCCTTCTCTTTTTGAATAATGCAGTGGGATCTTTAACATCCATCTGAACAAGTAGGAGGACATCTGTCTCTTCCAACAGTACCTACAACAATACAGCACACCCCAGCACTGCATTGGAGCGTTTGTCTACATGAGGTGACATCTTCCTGTTCAGGTGAACATTGAACAAAATTGGTTCAAAGTTCAAAGTATCAACATGGGGCTTGAATCAACCAACCTTTAACTCAGTAGCACAAATGCTACAAATTGAGCCAGGCTGAGGTCAATGCACATTCACACACCACATTTCAGTCTCTCTCTTAATTCAAATATACAATATCACACATATATCATAGGCATCAATGATCCCTTTTTTTTCCCTGAGTTGGGCAATCGCAAGCATTGCATCGTTGACACTAACTAGATTTGAATGGCATAGATCACTTATGAATGAAATACATAATCTTTTTTCAGTGGAAGCTATTTCAGTGGGCACCGGGAAAGGTTAATGGTAAACCTGTTAAAGGGATTTGTGGCACAGACTGATAGTAGAGTTGAATTCCTTCACTCACAAAATGGATGTTCATTGCAACTGCCATATTATGATTGCGGTGATCATTTTATTTTCAGACTATTTCTCGGTTGAGAGAAGGGCTGAATGTCCCAAGAAAGACTGGAAATCAAAATGCCGTCACATAAAAACACTTTTGCCGGCCTTTGTGGCTGCAATTTTGTTTTATGCTCAATTATTTAGCAAATTTTAGAGGTCATAATTAAGCCAATTTGAGAATGCTGCATTTCAACCCCAATAACAAATTTCCTCCACTATAATCATGCTCCCAGGTCATGCTCATCAGTTCACCTCACCGCTCCCACTAGTTTCCTGGCTCCATTGTTATTAACCGCAGCACTGATTTATACACCACCTTTCCACAGAAGAATCCCCAAACAATTATTTCCATTAAGAACAGCAATTGGGAAAGTACAAAATGTGCCCACTTGTTGACACTTGTCCTGGACTTTAAATACTGGAAGATAAAGCAGGGTTTTAGAGTGCAGCAGTGACCTCTCGTGGTAGGGATAGGATTTTACAAGCGTCCCTGCAGATGATTCAATTGATGACAGACATGTAAAAGGCAGAAAAATATGAGCTTTATTCATAAGATGCACTCAAATAAAGCTACTCACCACTGATCTTGCTAAGTTTTTGGACAATATCCTCATAAACTGAAAGAGAAAAAGTACATATATTTTGCTTTATTATGCACCATGCACACTGAAATGATTGTTTCATACTAGAACAATTTGCATGATTTTACTCTCCATGAACAATTAAATTATGCTCACAAATGTGTGGAATTTGCTACATAGATTTATTACAGTTCAGTGTTACCATCAGCAATGTGATCTGACTGTACAACAATATAATCTGACTATTTATTATGATCCAATGTTAATAACTGCAATGCGAGCTAGCTGTAATAATAATAATCCTTGCATTTGATATAGCGCTTTTCATGTCTTCTAGACGTCTTCACAGAATATACTGTAAAGTGAATTGACCGTGTATTTGTGGGCAAAACGCAGCACCCAATTGCACACAAACAGTCGTGGATTGAAAATGACCAATTTATTATTGTTTTTTGTTTTTGAGGGATTATTATTAGGCGTGTGGAGTAAGGAAACTTACCCAAGGTTTCGCCCTGCCTGGAATTGACCCCAGGTGTCTCGCTTGCAAGGCGAGTGCTCTAACCACTGAACTACAGGACTCCACAAACGTACTTATTACAGTTCAGGGATAACATCAGCAATATAATTTGACTGTACTTATTACAGTTCAATATTAATAACCGCAGTGTGATCTGACTGTATGTATTACAGTTCAATGTTGATATCAGTGATGTGATCTGACTGTACTTATTACAGCACAGCGTAGAATCATAAGCATTTGCAGCACAGAAGGCTCTTGCGCATCCTTTGACTGCAAATTACAGAGCCAACACTGATGGTGGATGTGTGGCATAATCAGATGATAAGATTATGCCAAGGAATGAGAACAAGAGGGAAGGCACAGGTTCAGAGTTACGAAGTTCAATTATCAGGACAGAAACCAGGAAGTATTGCTTTACACAGAGAGTAATCAACAGCTACAGGTTTCCAGGTAAAAAAGGGTTGGAGACCATGTTGCTAAAAGAAATAGAATGAAATGGGAGGATGGTAGGATGGATAATTCTGGAAGGATGCAATCAAATGGGCTAAAGGGCCTTCTTCATCTGATCATCTTGTAAAACAGTAAATGGAAAAGGGTCACTTTAAAAAGGCAGCTAAAGGGACTAATATACAGACTGGAACACCGTTGGGGTTTCAAATTCAAGTCTGAGGAAACGGGAAAATTTATATTCAAAATAGAAGCATTTTGAATGAGATTATTGAAAAGCTGAAATATTAAATGTAGGAAGTTCAAACATTTGTTTACTTTCAGCATCAAATCAAGTTAAGAAACAAAAATAGATGTCTGAGACAAAATCCTTACAGAGGTGTAAAACGGCTAATAGCCCGATCTGCATTTTGGACCCTAATGTATGACACAGAATAAAGCAATCTCTTCCAGGTACCTTTCCCAGATACATTTAGGGTCGTCACATCGTGTCCTCTGGCATCTTTCAGTGTCATTTTGTATTCAGCCATTGTATTTTTGGAGAACTGAAAAGAAAAACATTTGCATTAGAAACAGGAATTGCCAGTCTGAATGTCTGCGTTAAAACTTTGTTTGCCATCTCTCTGCCCAACCAAAGAACCTGTCTGTGTCCCCCTGAAGTCGCTTACAATCTTCTTCATTGCTAGCTACACTGACTATTTTTCTGTCATCTGTAAATATAGAAACTTAGGGGAAAAAAAGGCAAAATACTGCAGATGCTGGAAATCTGAAATGAAAACAAAACTCATTTGGGAACACACAGCAGGTCAGGCAGCATCTATGGAGAGAGAGAGCAAAGTGAGTTAATATTTCAGAGTTCTAAAGAAGGGTCATTGACCTGAAACCTTAACTCATTTTCCTCTCTCTCCATATATGGTACCTGACCTGCTGCATGTTCCCCTCATAGAAACTGAGGAATTGTGTTTCTTATTCCAGAGTGTGCAATAAGGCTTTGGCAATTGCAAAGACAGCATTGAAACATCAACACCAGGACCATGGAAAAGAAGGACTGAGGTTCACTCCCTGTCCCCTCCACACACGCACAAACACACTTCACTAAACCCAGAATGTTCTCTCTATTGCAAAGGGATAATAAGACACTAAAGGGTAAGAATTCTGTTCAGGGGTACATGAAGCACATTTGATGATATATGATTGCAATGGGAAATTCCATTAATTGTCCAACTGAACTCTTACCCCTCAGTGGGGAATCACAGGCTGAAGCTCACAAAAGGAAAAGTGAACAGAAAGTTCAAACTTGATTGGCAAATATATTGTCAAAGGACACTATAACATTTATAATAACAATTAGTTGGAATCTTTCCAGGTTGTGCTTTGGAGGCTGAGCAGAGTTACCTTCAAACCATTTGGGGGAAATAAAGATTTGCCCATTGCTCCCCCACAGTGACAGCCAGCAAAGGCAACATTAATCATTCAGAAGCTTTGCTCTCCCAGCAGAAATACATCAAGTCCTTTGGAAATGCAAACACTGGGATTAATTACTGGAAGTGAGCAACCTGATCCACTCAAGAGAACTCCCAACTCTTCTCAATAGTACCATGGATCTTAAACCTGAACAAAAGGTAGGATCTTGGTTCAAACATCTTAGCTGATAGACAGCATTTCCAGCAATGCAGTGAAAATCCTCGCTGGGGTGTCAACATAGTGAGCTCAAGCCCTGGTTTGTGGGGAAGTGGGGAAGGACATGATTTAATTTGCAAATAGGCAAAAGCACTGAAGTTGGGGGCAATAATCAAATAAATTCTAACAATAACAATAATAATAATCCTTACATTTGATATTGCACCTTATCCTTTCATTGAGACGTCTCAAAGCGCTTCACAGAATTTATTGTAAAATGGATTGACGGTGGGCGAAACACAGCAGCTAATTGCGTAAAGCAGTGTCCCATAAATAGCTGTATATTCAGTTTATTTTTTGCAGGGATTATTAACTCTGGAGAATGGTCTGCCAAATGACTAACAACCGGGGTCCTACTTAATGCTAGGTAAACAGAAATGTGCAGAGTAAGGAAGTAAGGAAACTTGCCTTAGGTTTTGGTCCACCCAGGAAACAAACTCAGGTCCTCTCGCTTGTGAGGCAAGCGATCTAACCTCTATGCTATGAGACTCCAATTAAATCTAAACCCTAATAATTTTTTCATGACTGAATAAAAATATTTCTGACCAGTTTAGCGTAAAACAGATGATCTGATCTGGCAAAAGATTGAACAAAACCCAATTTTCAACCAAAACTTCAACTTTTTATCTGCAGACTCAAAGTTATTTATATGCTGACAATTGGATGATAGGAGTCCTCTTGAATTTATGGACTGATTTATATAAGTTTTTTTTTACATTTACAGTCTGTGTTTGTTATTTATTCTTTTTATCTGCGGAATTTATAATAATTAATAAAAATAATCCTTGTATTTGATATAGCGCTTTGGCACATTGTTGAAACATCTCAAAGCGCCTCACAGAATCTACTGTACAGTGATTGACTGTAAATTTTGTGGGTAAATGCGGTAGCCAGTTTGTGCACAACTATGGATGAATGACTAATTTTATTTGGCGGATTTGTTGTCCAGGACATAGGAAGAAATTTGCTTCTCTTTCTGAATAGGTCTTAACATCCACCTGAAAAGGCAGACGGGACCTCAGTTTAACGTCTCAGCCAAAGGATGGAGTTAGTAATGTTAATCATAATCTTTGCATTTGACATGGTATCCCATCACACCCAGGGGACAGAGTTTGTGAACAGCAATATCTACTGTGTAACATCCTTACACAGTGGGCTAGTTACCTCAGAAATTAACATCTTGCAAATTCCCGTTTCTTGGTCAGGTGGTTGCTCAGGATCAATCTGATTATCATCTCTATACCAATGGTAGACCGTTTCCTTCTGTGTATTAGCCACCTGGAACACATGAAGAAGCGTACACATCAATAAACTGATCATGCAGTTTGTCAGAAATGTGGCATCACGCAGGCGGAGGAAGAGGTGTGAAAGAGGGAAGAGGAGTGTTTCCAGCCATGTTCTTCCTCACCTGAAGACTCCTTTTCCTTCTCTTAGGATAAGGTTCCACTCGTGACTGCCCTCTGTTACCTCTCTCGTGAGGTCATTATTTATGTGTGAGCCTTGACAGTGAGTCTTATATAAATAGTATTAATCCTTATATTTGATATAGCAGTTTTCACATCACCAGCTTTTCACAGGATTCATTGTAACGTTTAGTGATTGTGTATTTTGTGGAGCGAATAATGCACCAGAATCGGGAAGAGTGAAGGATACAAGCCGGAGAGTATTAGAAAACTACAATAGAATTAGAACAATGCAATGGAGGGTTTTGAAAACCAGCACTAAGCTCCTGAAGTCAATGTTTTGAGTTACTGGGAGACAACGGATCTTGGGTTAAGATATGGGTTAAAGGTTTGCCTAATGTGGGAGAGATACGAGCTGCCAATAACCCCCAAATATTAAAGAAATTGGGTGACTTTCCCTTACCTTGCATATCAGCTCCACAAAGCATTCCTGAGTTACATCCCAGTGCATGAACTCTGCAAAATGAGGTCCTAGGAAAACACAAGGGCAATCAATCTTACAGCAATTCCTAAACTCTCCGCGATACTCTATCAGCAATGTGAAATGTGTAGAGAGACAGAGAGAGAAAGGGATGAAAAAATAAACGATACAGGATTGTAAAGTAAAGTGAATGGTACCAACCTGACAAGACAAAAAAAATTAACTCACAAAGACAGAGTCAACACGAAGATCAGAGAGGGGCAATTCTAGAAACACTAAGGTCTTTTGTAAATATATAATGAAAAGATCACAAGTACTGTGTTAATGGTCAGAGCCTGACAGAACCCTGTATAGCCTTGATAATAATTATTAGAAATGAAAGTGATTGTTATATAGATAATATAGAGACAATCAATCTGCACCAGCACGTCTATAAATAGCAATAAGCAAAGTAGTCAATTTAAATTTGGAGGCAAATCTGGATCAATATGCTTGAAATAGGCGTTGGGCAGCCTGTTGGTATGATCAATGGTTGCATCTTGTTCGAATCTGCATCCACTCTGAATTGGCTGGTCTCAGCTGGGGTCGCATGGGGCTATGGTCTTGCCAGGATTAGGGAAAGAAAACCAGCCGGAGTTCCTGCTCCAGGTCCCTCCATAGCATCCTCTAATGGTTGTGCCAGATGAGAAAAAGTCAGGCTCAGCTGTGATGTCCTCCAAAGTACAGTGGTCTGCCAACACTCAATGCCAAGACTCGCACATGAACTGTGGCCACTTGGGCAGGGGATCAGAGGGGGCCAGTGCTCATGGAATTGTATTTCCAACGAGCAGACCAGACTAGTAATAGAGCAACGTATGCCAAAGGAAGAAGAAAATGACTGGACACAATAAATGTACATAAAGGAAATAGAAATAAGCCTTACCTTGCTTTCTCAGGTATTCCTTCTTCTGGAAGTCAGCTTCTGCCAGTGCAGCCTTGAAAGCTACAAATAACAAGCAGTCACAACACTTCAGACAGGATTTCCATGTAACTCATAGTTTTGTCAGACGCGAATCAACAACAACAGCAACTTGCACTTATATAGCACCCGCCACACAGGGTAGTGTCTCAGAGCGCATAACAGTAGTGGAGCCTGACTCCGAGCCAGGGGGAGTAGGGAGGTGGCTGTAAGCACGGTCGAAGAGGAAGGTTTTCAGGCGGGACTTGAAAAAGGGGAGAGAGAGGGCAAAGCGGAGGGATTGAGGATGTGTGTTCCACAGTTTGGGGGCATAGTGCTGAAAGTGCAACTTCCGATGGTGGGGTGGAGGGTTAGATGGACAAGTAGGAGGACGATGCCAGTCGAACAGAGGTGGTGGTTTGGGGAGTGAAGAGGTCGGAGAGGTAGAGAGGTGTCAGAGAGTGAAGGAATTTGAACACGATAGAGAGGATTTTGAAGTCGATCCATTCAGTGATGGGGAGCCAGTGGAGCCTGGCCATAACTGGTGAGATGTGGGCACGGAGTTTGGTCCAGGTCAGTATGCGAGCGGCAGAGTTCTGAAAGAGCTGGATCTTTTGAATAGTGGAGCTGGGGAAATCGGTGAGGAGTCCATTTGAGTAATCAAAGTGGGAGGTGACAAATGCATGCACAAGGGTTTCGGATGCATTTGAGGTAAGGTACAGTTGGAAATGGGCAATGTGGCGGAGGTGGAAGAAGTCGATCATGGTCAGGGATCGGATGTGGGAGAGGAAGAACAGCTGGGGGTCGAATTGGATGCCTAGATTGCAAACTGGTTTGGTGAGTCTGTGGCAATCGTGAAGTGAATGAGTAGTGATATTGAAGTGGAAGCAGACTTACTCTCCCCAATGAGGACCAGCGAGGATTGGTTCTTGGCTTTCCCATCCTGGATTTGAACAGTGTAAGTCCCTTCACTCTTACTTGTGAATTCCTCCATAACCATCTCAATCACACCAGTGGATTTATCAAATCCAATCTTATGCTCCTGTGAAGAACATTTCTCAAATGTACAGTGTTTCCTTTCATTTTATTTGCTCTTTCATCCTTTTCTTTTAAGTGAAAGAGGGCATTTCATGGATTGTGCTACTCATTTCAACCTCCAAAGGATAAAGGATCAGGATTCACACCCAGAAAGTGCTGGACCCACTGAGCTATCTGGGATATTTCCAATTGATGCACATAAGAAACAAAACAGGCAGTTGGATTACTTTTAAAGTGTATTGGTTAGTCTAGGCAAATGGAACTGCTGTAGCATCACGCAAACAGCAATGAACAATTGATCCAATCCAGTGATGGCCAACCTGTGACCCGCGGGCCGGATGTGGTTTGTCAAACATTCGCACCAGTCCAGGTGAGTCCGTTCCAAATCAATGCTTTGTTTCCAGTAGCTAACAAGTGGTGTTTCCCATAAACTAAGAAATATTCAATCAATAAATGTATTTGATTGTTCGACCAAAATGGTTGACCACCCACCACTGATCTATTCTATGGGCACAATATGCAGAAGAAATAATAAGGGGTACAGGTGGGGAAAGAGCAAGGAATTGAGTTTCGGATGGATGGTTTATAGGAAGCGCAAGAAAAGGGGCTAAGTGTCTTCCTATTGTGTCATACATTTCTATGGTATTAATCTGTGTTTCGGTGAATTTAGTTGAAGGAGAAATGTTGGCCAGGGCACCAGTGAGCTCCCTTCTCTTCTAAACAGTGCTCTTTAATATCCAACTGCAGCACTGGAATGGACAAACTAGATCTCAGTATTCTATCTGTAGAACAGTATCTCAGTGCTGGACTGCATCTCACATTTGATCCATGTGGTATTCCTGTTTCACTTTCATAGAACATTTTCCGCATAAAAAAAATTATAAACTCTATAGCGCAAATCCAAATTCCTTTGAGTTTATCAGCACAACGGGATTTAATCCTCTTAGTTTCAGTTAACTGTGCTTATCAATTAGTAATTACCGTAGTGTCTGTCATCTGCATGTCATTAACAATAAAACTGCAGGTGGCTTCAGATGACACCCCCTCAACCTGCAGCCAAAAGCGAACTTGACCTCGTTCAAAAACTTCATAAGATAATTCACATTTTAATGGAATTGCTGTGAGAAAAGAAAGAAAAGTAATTTTATATTGCAGCCAAAACTTTTGTGATTGATATATATATATATATAAACAAAGCCCTTATTCACTTGTATTCAACAAAGAAAAAATCACTTAAAAGTGTCAATGAATTTCTGTTCTAATTTATTAAAATCCTTACAAATTAAAACCACTTTTACAAAGAAATTTATTCTGAAAAGAAAACATTTGTAAGGCTTTGGGTAAGAGTGGGGAAGTGGGACTAGTTGGATGGTTCTTTCAAAGAGCCAGCATGGGTACGATGGGCCGAATGGCCTCGTTCTGTGCTGTAAGATTCTATGATTCTATGAAGCAATTTCATCAGTGACATTTGGTGTTGAAAATGGGATGCTGCCTGTGTACGAGTGGAAACACACACGTGAAAATAAATCCTAACCAATGTGTTTTCAAACAGGAAAAACAAATTATTTTCCATTTATACTTGTCATTCCTAATCCGCATTCCTTATCTATGTCATGCACATTTTTCCCAGTTAAAATACTTTTGCCTCCAGTGGTATAGAATCTCTTCATAATAATAAAATAATGGTAACTCTGAAGCTACGTTTTCATGGCTCTTTGTCAGCTTTAGCTTCCAAGTTTTGTTGAATTAAATAATAATAATCCTTACATTTGATATAGTGTCTTTCAAGCCAGGAGAGTGTCCCAAAGCTCTTTGCTGGATATACTGTAAAGTGCAGTGACTGTGTGTTTTGTGGGCAAATGCAGCAGCCCAATTTGCAATGTCCCACAAACCATTATGGAGTAAATGATTAATTTTATTTGGGGAGGTTGATGGCCAGAGCGCAGGAAGAATTTTACTTCGCTTTATAAACTGTGCCAAAGGACAGTACCTCCAACAATACACCACCACCTCAGCACTGCATTGCAACAACAACAACAAGATTTCATTTATAGAGCGCCTTTCATGTCAGGAGGACGTCCCAAGGCGCTGGACAGTTGGGTCGGGTCCCGAGCAGGGGGGAAATGGTCAGGGTGAGGGGAGGGAGCGAGGAGGGGGGAAATGGTCAGGGTGAGGGGAGGGAAGGGAGGCAGCGAGGAGGGGGTAGAGAGTCGAGAGGGGAGCCAAAGGCATGGTTGAAGAGAAAGGTCTTGAGACCGGCCTTGAAGGAGGAAAGGGAGGAAGCAAGGCCAAGGCACTGGGGGATGGAGATCCAGAGCCTAGGGGCTGAGAGGCTGAAAGCCCGGCCACCGATAGTAGGGCGGTTGGGGCGGGGGATGTGGAGCAGACCGGAGCCAGAGGAATGGAGAGTATGGGCAGGTAAGTAGGGGGATAGTAGGTCAGAGAGTTAGGAGGGAGCAAGGCTGTGAATCGCCTTGTAGGTGAGGATGAGGATCTTGAATTCAATCTTCTGGGGGATGGGAAGCCAGTGGAGGCGAGCGAGGGTGGAAGTGATGTGGTCGCGAAGCCTGGTGCGGGATAGTACACGAGCTGCAGAGTTCTGTAAGTGTCTGTAAGTGTAATTGCAGTGTCATCTTAGAAGGTATGAGTTCAAGTCCCAAAGTGGGGCTTGAACCAACAACTTTTTGACTCAGATATACAACAAACAAGACCCTTGGTGAAAATAATAGCTGATAAATGGTAGCAATTGAAAGCAGTCTGTGATTTACAGAAGCTGTGCCAGGTACCAAGGGATGGTAGGTGGGCGGTGTTGGGGAAGTAACCATAGACACACAGTCAAAGAGTTAGGTTTTTAGGCAGTTTTTTGAAGACACATTGAGAAGGGGCAAGGCTGGAGGGATAGAGGGAGGGAGGGAAGTTAAAGATGAAAAAGGAAATCTGCAAAACCTATCTCTGTATTTCACTCAAGGTCAATTTTTCTAGAGATGAAGCTGAGACCAGCATCTAAGACAGCTCCACTACTCCCAACAATGCTATTTTGTTCAAATTATTTTAAGATGCTCGAAATGTACCAGGAAAGTAATGTTCCCGTCACTCAGCCTGCCACTCAGTCCAAATTGTCAGCCTCCCAGGGCCTTACATCACCATATCTATAGCTCAGTGGTTAGAGCACTCGCTTTGCAAGCGAGAGACCTGAGTTCAATTCCAGGCAGGTCAGGGCGAAACCTTGGGCAAGTTTCCTTACTCCACACGCCTAATAATAATCCCTCCAAAACCAAAAACAACAATAAAATTGGTCATTTTTAATCTACGACTGTTTGTGGGAGATTGCTGTGCGCAATTGGCTGCCGCGTTCGCCCACAAATATACAGTCAATTCACTTTACAGTGTGTTCTGTGAAGCGCTTTGGGATGTCCTCCCGACGTGAAAAGCGCTATATCAAATGCAAGGATTATTATTATTATCTAATGGATGGAGGACTCTTGTTGCTATTCACTCTTGTTGCTATTTGTGGGCATTTCACTTTACAGTATATTCAATTCACTTTACAGTATATTCTGTAAAGCATTTTGAGACGTCTAGAAGACGTGAAAAGCGCTATATCAAATGCAAGGATTATTATTATTATTATTATTATTCACATTCTTACTCTCATTCTCCATCATTCAGGATGCTATGTAATCTGGAAAAGTCTGATTTAAGCACTGAAACAGCACAATCAAATAAATACGCCAACATTTCAACAGTTATTTTTACCATAAATTAGCAATAAAAGCTCATTTGTACTCACTTGGGTGTCTTATCTCATGACGCAATGCCAGCAAACGTTCCATTTCTGAAAACAGAAAAGGCAACAGTCTTTATCATGTGATGACACTCCCCGCGGTATATAGATAGCACAGTCAGCATGAAACCATTTGAATTGAGTGAAGAACTATTACTACCTTCTGCTGCCAAAACGTAGCTGGAAGAGATACCGTCAGTGTCTGTTACCATCACCGAGTAAGTTCCCAGATCCTCCATGTCAGGGTGTGTAAACACCAGCCTGGAACTAACAGCACATTGTTCTTTTTATTAAAAAGTGAGATTCTCCAGGTTATTAGAATATCAGCAAACAGTTGCCTCAACTTTTAATATTCTTAAACTTTTTCATCAAAGGAAAATATGCCTACAGATTCTCATTGTCCATTTTCAGCCATGTCACTTGTTTGGTTAACGAAGGAGTAATACCATAATATATTTTGCTTTTGCTGTAGTGGATTTACGGTAGAGTATCATTATCTAAAGGATGGCATCTCTGACAATGCAGCACTGCCTTAGTATTGGCTTGGAGCATGAACCTAGAGGCAATAAGCTCAAAGTACCGATGTGAGGCTAAAGCCCACCACCTTCTGAATCAGAGGTGAGAGCATTTCATTTGACATAGTGTCTTACCACACTGTCGAGACAGACATTCAAGGTGCTTCAGAGGACTTTATGCCCCTACCCTTTGGAATTCTTTCCCCTACCCCTGCACCTCACCCCTCAACATCTGACTCTAAATTCCTACCTTTTTGGCAACACCTACAGTCCCACCTCCACCCTGCCTCCCTTGCTCATCACCTGACACTGACCCTGTGAAATGCTGTGAAACATAATTCTATGTGAAGCAGCTATAAAAATGTAAGTTATTGTCGTCTCAAACAACACAATAGGATTTACATTTATATAGCATTTCTCAAGTCAAGAGGACAAGTCAAAGCCTCAGTCCAGTGTCCTGAACCTCAACTTTGGGCTTCAACTACATTTCTCATTTTAAAGTAAGATGTACACCAAATATTGTATTCTGAAGGTCTGTCCACTCCAGGCTCAATGAAGCCAAAATGCAACCTGTGTAGCACGTGGAGGGGGCAATGTAACACTTACTTAGATGCTTGAAGTGAACATAACATAAACGAAACCACAGAATTAGTATTATACCACTTACTTGTTGTCTTTCGTTTCAATGCCCAGTTTGGAGAATTCAGTGATTTTCTCGTAGGATTTGCTCCAGGCAAACTGGGACGCAGCTGACATGTCCTGGCACTCAAACTTCAAGTAGATGTTGCCTTCTTCATCAACTCCGGCAGCAATTTCCTTTGTTCCTGAAATAACCACAACATCATTATTATTACTGAGGTCAAAATTGTGGTGTTCCTAAATACATTATATTCCTTATCAAAAGAATGATGTTAAAACATGTTCTAAAATACTACCCCCACAGTCTGGTTGGATTTCAGCGAGACCTATTTTACGACTTGAGAGCCCTTAAAACCTCTCATAGCTTAAAGGGGTTTGGAGATAATGATAATAATCCTGCATTTGATATAGAGCCCAATCACATCGTTGAGATGTCTCAAAGCGCTCTAAAAAATTTACTGTAAAGTGGATTGACTATGTATTTTTGTAGACACAGCAGTGTCCCACATACAGTCGTGGTTTGAGCGACTAAATTATTGTTATTTTTATTGATTTTTTTTTAGATAGAGCAGGGCTGTGGGATTGAGAGTATAGATTGCCCTGTGAGCCAGCACAGAATAAATGAGTGTAATGGCTTCCTTCTGCGTTGTAAATTTATATGATTCTATGAACTGACTCCAGGTTTATTCATGACATACTGCCCAAGCTCAAATTGCTTTGGTTCAATATCCCCTGAATAAGATCAGAAAGGTCCCTTTTGGCACTGAAAAACTACCAACTGAGCATGAGTCCAAGTCAATTAGGGTTTTTAAGTCAGCCTTTGGCATGACTTTTATTCTGAAATAAGTGAGGTGGGGGTTATTTTAATGATATTTTTTAAATAAGGAATGGAATGTTTTCAGGAAACCCACAATTTTGATCCCTGTATTGCAAACATCATTATAAAAAATCTTATAATAATAATCCTTGCAGTTGATAAACTATAATGTCAAAACACTTCAAAGAACTTCACATGTAATTATTAAGTGTGGAGTCTGTACAAATTCAGCAGCTACTTTTACACACAGAAGATAATAATAATAAAAATGATAATAATAATCCTTGCATTTGATATAGCGCTTTTCATATCTTCTAGACGTCTCAAAGTGCTTCAGAGAATATGCTGTAAATTGAATTGACTGAAAAATTTGTGGGAGAAACACTGCAGCCAATTGCACAGAGCAGTGTCCCACAAACAGTCATAAATGACCAATTTATTCTTTTTTTGTTTTGGAGGGATTATTATTAGATGGCAAGTACAACAACATTGCAGGTCCTATTTAAAACAATTCAGGCTCCTTTAGATCCACAAAAGATCACAAAATGAATGACATATCTTAGCTGGAAAACTGTTGGCCAGCTTTGAGCTTCATAACAGAAGCTGAATAAATTATTCTTCACAATGGGTTCAAATTTGAAGTATTCATAAACAAATGTTATTAATAATAATAATGGAGTCCTGTAGCTCAGTGGTTAGAGCACTTGATTTGCAAGCGAGATACCTGGGTTCAATTCCCAGCAGGGTGAAAACTTGGGCAAGTTTCTTTACTCCACACGCCTGTTGATAATTCCTCAAGAAAAAATAAAGCAATAATAAATTGGTCACTTCAAACCACGACAGTTTGTGGGACACTGCTGTGCACAGCTGGCTGCTGCATTTCGCTCACAAATATACAGTTAATTCACTTTACAGTCTATTCTGTGAAGCGCTTTGAGACATCTAAAAGATGTGAAAAGCGCTATATTAAATTATTATTATTATAATCCTCACATTTGTTAAAGCACCTTTCAGGTCGAAAGGACATCTCAAAAAGCTTCACAGGATATACTGTAAAGTGAAGTGAGGGTTTGTTTTGTGGGTGAACATGACTTCTGTTTGCCATAATTGCCATCATTTTAAATTATCTAATGGCGACATCTGAAATCTTTCATCACAAATTGTGATGAAAGGGCTGAGAGCAAAACAGGCCCAGGGAAACTGATGCACAATATAAAGTGCTTGTGGGTGCGTCAGTGAGGTCCGCAGAAAGTGAATGTAAAGTTTGCAAATGTGAATTACCTGGTATGAATTGCACAACAATGGGCTCAGAGGGTTCGGAAGCCTTGCCTGGACCAGCTGCATTCACTGCACGAACTTTAAAGATGTAGGTCTTTCCTTCTTCTAACTCAGTAACCTGTGCAGGTGATGTACAAGAACAACAACAAAAAAGATTGTATTTATATAGAGCCCTTCGTGCGGGTTAGTATCTCAGAGCGCTTAACACTGGTGGAGCTTGACCCCGAGCCTGGAGAAGAGGTTGGCGACTGTAGGCACAGTCAAACAGGAAGATCTTTAGATGTGATCTGAAGGCAGCTTAAAGAGCACCTTTAAGAGCCTATCAACTATTAACAGGCAGGGATATGTTCTGAAATGTCAATATAATAATTCTTTCATTTGATAAAGTGCTGTATCGCATCGTCGAAACACTTCATGGGAATTACTGTGAAGTGTAGTGACTGACTGTGCATTTTTAGGTGAGTGCGGCAGTCAATTTTTGTACAGCAATAACCTACAAACAGCCATGATGTGAATGATAAATTTTATCTGGAGGATCATTGGTGTGGACATTGAGAGAAACTCTTTTCTCTTTCCTTTCATCATGAGATCTTTAACATCTATCTGTATAGGGAGACAGAACCTTTTATTTGAAGAGCAGCACCTCTGACAATGCACACTGTACTGGAGCTCAAAATCCTGACATGGAACTTGACCCTACTACCTTTTGACTCAGAAGTGAGAGTGCTACCAATGGAGCCAGGCTGACACTGGTCTACCATTGCTGAGGGTCTTTAAAATGCACCAGTTCCTTTAAAATAGTGTATAAAATCACTTAAGATAGAAAGGCTATTCTCCAATTTTCAACTGGAGCGAGAAGAAACAGCACATGTGGTAGAATGGTATAACACCAGTAGTCTTACACCACATCTAACACCGAACCTAACTGAAGACTATCTCAGAGGCCAAATATCAAGGGTAGGTTGCTCTGAAAATATTAAAAATTTTATTTAAAAAATGTAAGTGTGAATAGCTTCCCCTAATTGTGCAGCCAAGAACGGTTTATAATAAAATAATAATAATCGTTGCATTTATATAGCGCCTTCCACATTATGAGGATATCTCAAAGCGCTTCACAGGATATACTGCAAAGTGTAGTGACTCTATATTTTGTAGGCAAATATGGTAGCACTCAAACAACTATGAAGTGAATGACCAAATTGGAGGCCAGGACACCAGGAAAAAACCCTTCTCTTTTAAATATATTATTTTCATATTGTTACATAAATAAAATGAAGACAGGCTGTTAATTCACAAACAAGACCATTTTCATCACTAACCTTCAAGTATCGATTCGATGTTGATTTCTGATTCACCGTTCTCCATTCCTTGGAACCAGCTTCACAGATGTCCACAAAGTAACCACTGATATCACTGTTGCCGGTGTAGATCGGGGCTTTCCACAGGATCACCAGAGAATTTCTTCTTATTTCACAGAACGTCAAGTCGTAGGTAGGACCTGAAGTGCGTACAAACATTAGAAAACATTATTTCATATACCTAACCTTATTATGGGTTCACTCCTCCACACTATCTCCAATAGGGGGCATGTTGCAATAAATATTTTCTCACTTCAAAATGAAATAAAATTTGGTCTGACTATATTGTGTCTGTGTGTGTGGCGGGGGGTGGGAAGAAAGGATGAGGGGGAAGGGTTTTGGGTCAATGATTTTAATTACAGGGCAGGATTTTCAACTAAATAATACACCACAAGTCCCGAATATTACTAGATATAACAGGGTGTTCCCATGGAAATCTCTTTGCCACTGTTTTCACTCCAGCGAGCTAATTTTCCATAATTCTATCAGCCTCCCTATCACAGCATTGAACTTTTTCCAAGCACTTCATAGGATTTTATCGTAAAATGCTGTAACTGTGTATTTTTGACATCTCGCAACTGTAATTAGAGCAAAACTGTAATTACCAAATTATTGGATAATCCTGGGTGTTATAATGTAAACAAGAGGAGGCTGTCATTTACTCTTTTTATTGTGGTTTATGCCCAAAGGTGCCAAGCCAGACACAGTCAAGGAGAAGGTACTCAGTTTAATGCTCCCTCTGATGATCATTGTATCCAGCTCCATGAATGCAAATGTGCATTGGTGGGCATCGACACTCATTCCAATGTTGCCGCATCAAGGAACCGAACTAAGAGATTGCACTGAGTGCGCAGATATCACCTTTTATAGCACTGTGGGGCAATTCATCAGAATTCAGGTCATTTTGATGAAACTGCCGAGTCTTTCCATTGACACAACTGCTATAATACAAGTTGTGTAAATGTTTACCCCAAAATGTCTTAAATGGCTTCATCCATTCTCCATTGCAAAGCAGGTTCTGCATAATTGCACACACACTTACATTCCTGAGTCTATATTGTGTAAATACCTGCATTTATGAATGATGGGTTTAGTGACTAAATTGATGCTGTGTTACCTGGTTCAGGCATAGTCCACGCTTCACATTTCATGGGATGGCTGGGCTCCGAAGGGAGGCTAAGGCCAGCTATATTCATAGCACTGAGTTTAAACTCGTAGAAGGAACCTTCTGTCAGATTTTCAGCCTTTGAAAGAGTAGCAACCGAGAATCAGTTAATCTTTCTATTACCCTAGAACGCTGATTAGGTAGTGTAGTCCGATACAGGGCCGAATATTACAGAGTAGTTTTCATGTGTACACAAGGGAGCATGCAAAGACACATAAATGAATAGCTCCAGACCACTTTTGATCTATGAACGGAAAATTAAGTATACAACAAGAAAAGGACTTTTTTTCACAAGTCTTGCTAGACAACATGCTTTCATTACATCCAGGCTTGCCTATGCTAACTTCTTGCTTGCCAAACTTCCCAACTCTTCCCTCCACAAGATCCAGATTATTCAGAACTCCGCAGCTCGTGTCCCCTCCCGCACGAAACTCTGTGAGCCAATCACTCCCATCCTCGTCAGTCTTCACTGGCTCCCCATCCCCCAGACGATCGAGTTCAAGAATTCTCATCCTCATTTTTAAAGCTCTCCATGGTTGTGCTTCTGCCTACCTCTGTAACCTATTAAACCATTACAACCTGTCCACTCCCTCCGCTCGACAGGAACTGGCCTGCTCCTTGTCCCTTGCCTCCTGCCCATTCCATCAATGGTCGAGCCTTCAACCTTTCTGTCCCCACCCACTGGAACTCCATCCTGTAGCCCCTCCACCTCGGAGAGTCCCTTGCCTCCTTCAAGGCCCATCTCAAGACTTTCCTCTTTGACCATGACTCCTACTTCCAATCCCCTTGTCCTCCACCCCGCTTGACTCCAACCCCCAGCTCGAATGCAAACACGTCCTAGCCGACATGAAAGTGATATTTGTTGCTGTTGTCTTCACAATATTTATAAAGTAGACTAAATACATTTAACAATGTGGTAATAGAGGGCTGAAGTATCCCAGGTCTACAGAGACTTGGAGAACCAGGTATGTTATGCAGAATACTAACATGCTATACTTCAGATATTGTAACATGAACTAGACAACAATTATTCAAGACTATTATTATTTTATCTGATATTTTATGTGATTTGAGGGCAGGGTTAGCTAGTCCGTGCTGGTGTGTGTTGTCCATATCAGTCTCCACCCCTCCTAATCCCCTCTCCCTCGCCTCCTCCTATATCCATCTATTCCCTTCTCCAGTGCAATGGGGGATGTCTGCACTGCACATAATTAAAATAATACGGTGTAATAGCATTTCAATGTAAATCAAGCTTATTGATATATATTTTTGTCATGCTCATAACTCTGAGAGTGTTCCTCATGTCATTAGCTAAAGTCCAAAGCACAATGATTTTATATCTTTATACAATATTCCAACTTTATGAAAACTATTTGAATTTGTAGACATGCTACATGTAGTACTAACTTTGTACACTCTGCTCGTGATTGCTTTGATGTTAGATTCATGCCAATTGATATGAGAGACTTCACGATGATCCATGTAGTAGCCAGTGACACCTGATCCACCAGTGTACCTTGGTGCCTTCCAGCCCAAGGTCATGCAGTCATTGGTGCAGTCGAGGAGGGTGATACCATATGGTGACGATGGGCTAGCTGTTGGGCACGAATGACAGGACGGAAACGATATTAACATCACATAATTTAAATAACAAATCCATGATTTGAAGATACCACCCAATAAAGATCATGGTTTTATAACAAAAAATTGGGCCTTTCCTTGGTCAGAGTTATATCACTGCCTAAAATACTGGAACAAATTGATATGTCAAACATAATAATAATTCTTATAATAATTCTTGCATTTGATATAACGTTTTATCACAGCTTTGAAACATCTCAAAGTGCTTCACGGAAGATGCTGTAAAGTGAATTGACTATATTTTGTGGGCAAAACAACAGTGCCTCACAAACAGTTGTGGAGTGGGAGACCAATTTATTATTATTTTGCTTTTTGACGGTATTATTAACCCCGGAAATGCCATCCACCAATCGACTAACAACCGGGTTCCTACTTACTGCTCGGTGAACGGAGAGGTGTGGAGTACCCCTCCATTCCAATTGAACCCCTCCAATCCGGCTTCCGCGCTGCCCACAGCACAGAAACAGCTCTGGTCAAAGTCACTAATGACATTCTAAACATTTGTGATCAGGGCTCCCTCTGCCTCCTTGTCCTCCTCGACCTCTCTGCCACCTTCAACACTGTCGACCACTCCATCCTCATATACTCAATATTCTCCGCTTTACTCAATCTTCATGGAACTGCCCTTGCCTGGTTCAATTCCTATCTCTCTCACCCTCTCCGCTTCGTTGCCTCTAACAGTTTCTCCTCCAGTCCCCGCACTGTCACATCTGGCGTTCCCCAGGGCTCTGTCCTTGGCCCTCTCCTCTTTAATATCTACATGTTCCCCCTTGAGGTCAACTTCCACATGTATGTGGATGACACCCAACTCTATCTTTCTGCCTCCACCATCAACTCCAGGACCACCTCTGTCCTGACAGACTGACTGTCGGACATCAAATCCTGGATGAGGGCAAATTTCCTACAGTTGAATGTGAACAAGACTGAGGCCCTCCTGATTGGCTCACGCCAGCGCCTCAGGAACTCAGGCTCTGGCAACATTAACCTCTATGGTTCCACATTACAACTCACCAAGCCAGTCAGGAACAAGTCAGTCTTGTTTGACCCTCAACTGTCTTTTCTCCCCCACATTCAAGCCATGACCCACTCTGCCTTCGCTCACCTCCATAACATCGCCCGACTCCGCCACTACTTCACCCCTCAGGCCACTGAAACTCTTGTTCATGCCTTCATCACCTCCAGGCTCGACTATGCAAATGCCCTGCTTGTCGGCCTTCCCAAATCCTCCCTCCACAGGCTGCAGATAATCCAGAACTCTGCAGCCTGTGTCCTCTCCCGCACCAAACTCCATGACCCCATCTCCCCCACTCTCGCCCGACTCCATTGGCTCCCTATCCTTCAGAGGATCCAGTTCAAGATCCTGGTCCTCACATACAAAGCCCTCCATGGCCTTGTCGCACCCTACCTCTGCGATCTCCTAACCCCCTACCAGCTCACCCGTTCCCTCCACTCAGCCGGCTCTGGCCTGGTCCACGTCCCCCGACCCACCCGCCTCATCATTGGCGAGAGAGCCTTCAGCCACCCTGCCCCCAACCTCTGGAATTCCATCCCCCCGTCACTCCACCTCACCTCCGCCTTAGCATCCTTCAAGTCCCGCCTCAAGACCCTCTTCTTCGACCATGCCATCAGCCACCCCCCTTCCCCTCCCCTCCCTTCCCCCACCTTGACCACAGCTCGGGTCTGAAATGTTGTACTCTGTCCAGCATCTTGGGACGTCCTCCCAACATGAAAGGCGCTATGTAATCTTGTTGTTGATGTTGAGGTAAGGAAACTTGCCCAATGTTTTGCCCTACCGGAAATCAAGCCAAGATCCTCTCACTTGCGAGGCGAGTGCTCTCATCACTAAGCTACAGGACTCCACAAGATACCCTACATATGTGACCCAGATCAGATTAAACCAACAGGAATTACTTTAGACTTGTTGTGATATAACTCGCCAAAATTAGAACCAGACATTTTAACTGCAGGTAGATTCAAGCTCCACTGTGACATAAAAGATCAGTGAAAACTAAATAGTGGCTGTTGACACTTTGAGGGTTAGGGAGTGAGCTAGAAATTGTGCCCACGTGCTGACATTAGCAGTGTGTTAGGCTTGCCGTGGGAACAATCAACATCGTGAACCAGTTCTGCAAATAATGATACTCCAGGTGTTGTTAGCTGGAAGGAAACAAAACTGTGAAGGTGTCACACCACTTCCTTCCATACCTACCATGATCGACGCCACCTCCTAAAGTGGCCACACAAAAAAAAATCAAATTACTTTAATTCAAACAAATTCAAATCTACACAGTAAGAAAATTATGGCACAAAATGAACAACAAAGTTTTGCCACTTTTTTTTGTTTGTTGACTTTAAAAGTTGAGTTAAGATAATAATAATAATAATAATAATAATAATAATAACAATAATAATAATCCTTGCATTTGAAATAGTGCTGTTCACATCTTCTAGACGTCTCAAAGCGCTTCACAGGATATACTGTAAAGTGAATTGACTGCATATTTGTGGGAGTAACGCAGCAGCGGATTGTGGACACAGCAGTGTCCCACAAACAGTCATGGATTGAAGTGACCAATATATTATTGTTTTTTTTCTTGAGGGATTATTATTAGCCGCGTGGAGTAAGGAAACTTGCCCAAGGTTTTGTCCTGCCGGGAATCGAACTCAGGTCTCTCGCTTGCCAGGCGAGTGCTCTAATCACTGAGCTACAGGACTCCATAGATGGCATTCACCAAACCATTTCGAAACTGCTGGGATCTTAAAAAGCAGTGTTTAACATTTTTTCCAAGTAAGAGAATGTTTCCTTTAATGACCCTATTGATATGAGGCAATAATTCACACATCACGTATAGACTCTGAAGTGTTTATTTTACTTCAGCCTCGTGGATTCCTGTAGCTCAGTGGTTAGAGCACTCGCTTTGCAAACGAGAGACCGGAGTTCAATTCCAGGCAGAGGGCGAAACCTTGGGCAAGTTTCCTTACTCCACACAGAGCCTAATAATAATCCCTCCAAAACCCAAAACAATAATAAATTGGTCATTTTCAATCTATGACTGTTTGTGGGACATTGCTGTGCACAATTGGCTGCCGCGTTCGCCCACAAATATACAGTCAATTCACTTTACAGTGTGTTCTGTGAAGCGCTTTGGGACATCCTCCCGACCTGAAAAGCGCTATATCAAATGCAAGGATTATTATTATTATTAACAAGCATGAGGAGCTCACACCATGCTTACAGTCAGGCATACCCTATTGAGCATGTCAAAAACCTTAAATAGTCCCAGCTTCAACCACTGTAAGAGAATGATCCCCAGACTCTATTAATATCCCCATAAATGCAGAGGCTGTTACAGACAGCAGTCTCAAAGGCATTGACGGAAAGCTCAAAAGTTGCCACGTGTCTTTTAGAGTTTGACCATTTCCAGAACGTTTGGTGGGGGGGGAAGAAAATGGGATTATTCAACTACAGCCAGAAATGGACATTGCCTGGACAGCACGTAGAGTGGAATGTAATAATTATGATACTGAATACAAAACCATATGATATTTGTATAGGGGAGGACGTGCGAAGGCACTGGACAGTAAGGGATTTGGACCCAAGAAGGGAGCTGGGGGGATAAGGGAAGGTGGGAGGGCAGAGAGGGTAACCGAAGACTTAGGGTCTTGAGACGTGCCTTTGAAGGAGTCAAAGGAGGGAGCGAGGCAAAGGGAATGTGGGATGGAGTTCCAAAGGCTGGGGGCAGAGAAGCTTAAGGCTGTACGGCCGATGGTGGGGTGGGCGGGCGGGGGACATGAGCAGGCCGGAATATGCTGAGTGGAGGGAACGGACCAGCGATCAAGAATGTCACATGTTGCATCGAAATAAGTGAAACACCAGCCAAATAAACCCACTCTTAGGAATCCAAAATGGTATATTATTAACAGAGGAAAAACAATCACACAGTAAGCAGATTGTTCTTTCTTATTGGTTATCACTGTCTCTTTCCTCTATGTCCGTATTAAATTACTTTCTGCAGGCCTTTACGTCACTCCCTAACACTCACTAACTATCACTCAAGTCAGATATCATGAAAAGTCATTTGCATCAAAAAAATCTAGAGACAAGGGCATAACTTTATTTTGTAAGAAGAGAACCACCTACATAGGCAAATATAAACCTACATTCTCATAGGCAAATACCAAAGGGAGAATAATTTTTATGGCATGTGTGCACATGTAGAAACAATGATTTTTAAAAAATTCCCATACCCNAAAAAAATGTTCAGTTTAAAAAACTGCTGATGGAAATGCTATTCCTTTTTGCTTGGTCACAGGTGACGGTTTCAAGCTTTGTACCTTTTCTTTCTGTTCACCTTTTGCTTTCAAACCTAAGCAACATTGTATTTATATAGCGCCCTTCAGGCGGGATAATGACTCCTTATTGGTACTAGTTTGCCTGTGTCAGACGCAGGAGGGAGTACTTACTGAGAGCCGCCTGCACGGTGATGGGCTCAGATTCTTGGGACAACTCACTCATTCCCACAGCATTGACTGCCTTCACTCTGAAGATGTATTTCTTCCCAGTCGTCAAACCATGGACAACAAAGCTAATGGGAAAATAGAAAGAGACACTTTACTCTTTAGGAACGCATGTCTGTAGTTGTCTCGCACAGTCTCAGTTAAGATCAACTATCAGCAAACGGGGACTGAGAATCATCAGTGATCAATTTAATTTGAGAGATTCTTGACCAGGACTATCATGCTATTATAATTCAATACTCCGCCAATCCGTTTTCTCGGAGAGCCATTGGGAAAGCTGTGCTACTAATTCATGAAGAAATTTCATGTACTGTGTTTGACTTAGTAAATTCTAGTGATATTCTGATCAGTTACAACTAAATAATAAAATGACATCCGTGTATTTGATACAGAGCTATAGCACATCGGAAAGTCTCAAAGCACTTCTCAAGAGTTTTCTGTAAGACGTAGTCATTGTGTAATTTGAGGGCAAACCATGCAGCCAATTTGCACACAGCAACATCCCACATACAGACATGAAGTGAACAGCCAATTCTTTTTAAGTCTGGAGGATTATTGGCCAGGATATCGTGAGAAAGTGCTTTCTCTTTTCAAACAGTGTCACAGGATCTTTAACATTCACTTAATCAGGAGGATGGGATCTCGCTTTAACACGTCATTCAAAAGACAACAAATTTCATTTATTTTGTGTCTTTCACGTCCCAAGGCATTTGAAAGGATGGAACCTCTAAAAACGCAACACATTACTCATATGTGAAAGTGCAACCAAACAAGCCAGACTGTCAGTGCATGCACATTTTAGACAAAAGGTGTGATAATGACCTTGTGTATTTTATGGGCTTATGATTGCAAGGTTCCCAGTTGTTGGTTCCCACCAGACAAGAGTCAAGATAGTAGCCCATCAGTTCACTGGCTTCTTTAGAAGCCACCCACTTCACCAACACTGAGTGCTTTGTATTCCTTGTGGCTCGCACGGCACTAGGTGGAGATGGAATAGCTGCGGAGACAAAGAGTGACAAGTCAAAGAAGGTTCTATTATAAGGAGGCTCAAGCTGTGAAATTCCCAAACCAGATACATTGTATTAATTGCATCTTCCAGTTTGCAAACTCGTGGATCGGGAACCGAGAATACTAAGTTGGCAAAGTACAAAAAAAACCCAGGGAGTGAAATACACAGCTAAAGGATGGGAGAAACGCACTTGGAGACACTTATGCCCACATCAAAAGTACCTTTTCTGGACTTCTCCTGCATGACAGAACTATTCAGCTAGCTCGCAATTCCACAAGAACTCTCACAATAGGATCCTGTATTTATAGTTCAGTATCTCCAAGGACCATGGGAAACCCACAATCAACTGCTTTTCCCAAATTAAACAATTGCACCAATATGCAATAAGATTCTGTTGAAAACCTACAGCAAACATTCTGTATAGCTTTTGTAAAGCTGATCTGTGTTCAATTGCGATTTGGGCGCAGTCTCTGAATGCAAGAGAGACTGGGATAAAGAAAGGTCCTTTGGCCAATTTGATCTCCTCCTTTCAGCAGACCACCCCCTATACATCATATTACCTCTGCTTACACAATGACTGTAAATAACCAGTCAATACATTGCACCACAAAAGATCTCTCAGGCCACCGCCTGTGTTGCACTTTGGGTCTTGCAGGTATAAAATAAACTGCACAAAAGTATGGCTCATTTACTGCAATTTAATTATTGTTCTTTTTTCTGTTGTTGCTAAACAAATTTGCTATGTTCACTGCTCACAGTAGAATCTCCATGGAAGAACTATTTTGATATTTCATGATCTCTGATGAAATACCCCTTTCTTTACACCACCATGGGAAAGTCAGCCATCGCTGTACAAGTGGCGGTTTTGGTGCGTGGCCGGTTTGAAAGACAAATTCCACAACAGAATTAACATTGGTTGAAACAGATCATGCCAAGTTATTACCAATGTGATCCTGAACCAAGACAGGTCCAGTGGAGGGAGAGGGTTCGCTCATGCCAAACTTGTTAACAGCAAAGACACGGAATTCATAAGATTTCCCTTCTGCTAAGTCAAACACAGCGAAACGAGGAGACCTCGCAGCAATCTCTGTGTTAATCCTCTGCCACGATGTGCTGCCAGACATGGTCTGAAAGAAGAGATAATAGGGCTGTATTAAAGGCAGTCCGTGGGCAGGAATTTTCATCCTGTCCCTTGTTAATGCATTTAAACATTGACCTTAAAATCAGTCAATTTACAGTAAGTAGTAGAGCGTTCCTTTTATTTAAGAAAGATTTGATAACTACCAACAGGTGGCAGTACCCCTCTGCAGGGAAGTGAATGGTTTCTCCCGTATCCTAGCCTTACCATTTTATTGGAGCCAAAGCGAGCATTTATTTATATTTTGTAAATTTCAGACCCTATATTGAGCTTTAAGTTATTTTATTTGTTTAATATGCGTTTTGCTCTATTGATCGTCTCTCCTTAGGGCCAAAATAGTACAATAACAACAACAACAACAAGATTATATTTGTATAGCTTGAACCCACAGCCTTCTCAATGATGGGAACAAAGGAACAGAAGGAGGCCATTCAGCCCATCAAGCTGTTAGCCAGTTAATATCAGATAATGGCTGATCTTTGAATTCAATTTCTCTATTTTCCCCATTTTCCCTTACTTCCCAAGTGTCTACCTATGTCCTTTGAGGATTGAATTATTTCATATGTTTTACCGGTTGATCAAACAAGCCAGAAATAGTCATTGCAATATTGGCAATTAGTAAACCCAAATCACTGCACTGTTTAATCAGTGTTATATACATGGTACTTTCTATGTTTATCTTTCTTTTCAGAGACAGCCATAAATAGTGTTTGTTCCTCTGCCACTATTAGCGAGTGGATGTTTATGTGATACCTCAATTTAACAAGGGAGCTATAAATAATATCTGAGGTTCTTGTACACAGAGCAGTGCTTTTGCCTGAATGTACATAATGTGCTCAAGGCAGACACACACACAAGCAAATCCAGCCGGCTTCAGCCTCTCGGAGACTAATAAACAAAACCCTTAGCTGTTGCTTTTGAAACAACTGTACTTTGAGCTGTTCACATGAATGTATCATTTGCTCTCCAGCTATAAAGCTGTGTCGCCAGTGGAGATACATTGTCCAGATTGCATTGTTTTTACATTCTGGTCTGGTATGGGACTCTGCCACTAAGGGCAGACTATGTACAGTGAGCTACTTCTCATTCACTGATATTACAGTCAGACCCCATTATAACAGAACAGTTGGCGCCCGTAAAATGAGACAGCGTGTACTAATGGGACGTGTGGCCACTTGTCAGCTCTTTCAGGATTGTCAGGTCACCACTGATGTCACCAAGCCCTGCTGTCATGTATGCTAGTCACCAGTGACTTCTCTCCCTCTCTAGCATTTCCAACTGTTTCCCGGGACACTGGTGATGACACCTTGTCTAGCTCACTTAGCCAGTCAGTCAGTGAGTGAAGCAGGAAATACTGTACCTCAGTAGGTGAGGGGAATGGGAGATGTGGGGGCTTGTGTGGAGTATATGTAATACTCCTTGCATTGGTATTGTGGTTTTTGTAGGAGGTCCCAAAGCACTTCATAGGATTTACTGTGAAGTGCAGGCACTCTGTATTTGTAGGTGAATCCAGGAGCCAATTTGCACACAGCAATGTCCCACAAGCAGCCATTCATGAAATAAACAATTTTATTTGAGGGAATCTTAGCCAAAAATCAGGAAAAACTCCTTTCTTTTTTGAGTAGTGTCATGGGTTCCATAACATCCACCTGAACAGGCAGCCCAGGAACTTGGTTAACTTCTCATCTGAAGAACGGTACCTCCAACAATGCAACACACCCTTAGCACTGCATTGGAGTGTCATTTTCGACTATGCGAGTTCAAGGTCCCGATGTGGGGTTTGAACTCACAACCTTCTGATTCAGAGGCACGATTGCGACCAACTGAGCCAGCCTGGCACACACACCAGGATAAACTAGTTCGGTCTAATGACTTGTTTCTAAGCCATAGACTGTATATAATTCTAGGAATCCACCATGTCCTAGCATTATATCTGAACCCTCAATATGGTAAAGCATGCTATGACCGAGTCAAACTATATTAGGGTCTAATTTGGGGTATTTCTCAACACATTGCTAAATATGAAACGGGCAGATATTGAATTCCTAAAACGTTGATTGTGTTGAGGAATACATAAAATTTACTAACTCCTTGGCTGTTTGAAGGACATTACTGTGCGCCAACTGGCTGTTGCATATCGCCAACAAAATACAGTCAATCCACTTTACAGTATATTTTGTGAAGTGCTTGGAGACGTCTCAACAAAGTGATAAGACAAATACAAGGATTATTATTATGATTATTATGATTCTAAAATTAAATGGTTACAAAGCTCTGGAAAGCTGAGGAAGCACAAGCGAAGCTTGATACCTTTTCAATATAATATTTCAGTGATTCCCTGCCACGAGGTGCTGGAGGATCCCAGCTGAGGACAATGTAATTGATGTTGGTCTCTGCAGCGTGGACATTGGTGGGATGTCCTGGTATTTTTACATCCCCTGAGGAACAGATAAAAGCGGTCAATGCATTACTTGTGACAAGGGTCTTATTCCCTGTCGTTGCAGCTCAAAACTAGATGTATAGAAAGGGCGAAAAATGAATCATTCCTGTTGGATCAATGAGTTATATCCCACAGTATAACGGAAGAGATTTATGGTGGTCATTATAAGGGAGTCCCATGAACACTGCAGAGGTTCTGACAGACTGAAAAGAATGAACTGCTGTTATTTATCATCATCTCTCATCTGCCATTGCTTTCCCTTGCCCCCGTCACCTTCACTCGTGTTAAAGTTGAATGTTGCTAAGGTGAAATAGAACTTAAGTATTCCTGACTATGTGGAGTTCTGTGAGTGACATTTTCTAACTGTGCTAGATACAAATGCAGTTAGAAAAAAATACATTGCATTAGATATGCCTATAAAAAGCACATTGACTCGATATAGTTATGTAACAGTACATTGCGCTGTTTTGTTTTGGTCAGGCTAAGTCTCTGACCAATGTGGAAACCCTGCCACCATTCTGAAGAGTATCCAAACCCAAAGACTACAAGGACATTTTCCTTTGTCTGGAATGGATGTGTATTCTTCCCCCAGAGGAAGGCACGCTGCTCATTTATTTCCAGAAAGAATTAGCACAGGTTGGCAAGAGCCAAGATTACATGGGGATTACATGAAGTACTTCTGGAGTTTTAAAGCTTACGGTTTCAAAAATTTACTGGAAAACTTTCCATTGCTTGTCCAACTATGACCACTGTTCCCACTAGGGCTGTGATGTGTAGGGTTAACACGAGGAAAGTAAATACACTTTGAGAAAAGCATATTGCCGTTGACATAGTTATAGAAATTTTTGCCAAAGAAATGCTTCAAATTAATTTTACCTTCCAAATCATCTTTGGATATAACGATCTGTTTGTCATTATCCAACCGAATTGCTGTGGAAAGAAATAAAAATTAAAAGATAATAAACTGATGATGGAAGATCATAAACTGGAATCACAAAATCTGAGGAAAATAGAAATTGGAGAAAAGTAACACTTCAGAATGTGCCAACACAGAAGCTGAATGTTGGCATCTTCTTTGCATGATTCTATTTCCCACTGTCCTTGGCAAGCCTCTGGGATGCTACCCTACATGAGGGGCGCTATATAAATGCAAGTTGTTGTTGATTCAAAAAGTTCCCATAAGGCAAGTATAAGACTCTAAAGAAGTGAAAGTGGTTGTTTTGCATCTAATATTCACACTCAGTCTTTATTTGCCCATAAATATACAGTCAATTCACTTTACAGTATATTCTTGAAGCGCTTTGAGATGTCTAGAAGACGTGAAAAGTTCTACATCAAATGCAAGGATTATTATTATTAATATTAGGTCTTCCTGAGACTCAGCATCAAGGCCAAACTGAGCCAGTCACCAATGATACCACAGAGAAGAGCCAGACTGAGCCACAAATGAATAATATCATAGAAAAGAGCCAAACTAGGCCAGACACCATTCTACAGAGAAGAGCAAGACTGAGCCAGATACTGGTGATATCACAGAGGAGAGCCAGACTGAGACAGACATGGTGAGGGGAGAGGAAAGGAGAACAAACAACAATTGTACCCACTACAGGATTTCTAATGCTTTTGGACTACAAGGAGTTTTTGTGTATCAATGAATGAGACGTTAGAAATCATCAGAATCCAAGTGCAGGAGCAGTAACCTAGTTACGTATAGTCGTTGGTGAATAAAGTCTTGTGTCATTGTCGTGTGGCATGGCTCATTGTGGACGGACAACCAGTAAATTGAATAAATTGTGAGATACCAGTGAGACTAGTTCCTGTATATAATGGTCCCTTTCTACTCGCCTGCAACATCTCTTTATTTACAGGCTGCTAAACCCCTGGAAAAGAGTTTCCGGGAAACAGCGAGGACGTGAAAATGAGTGGGATTGCTTTTCTTAAGATGGTCGGTGGTGTTCCAAAGTAGCAACAACAACAAGATTGCATTTATAGAGCGCCATTCATGTCGGGAGGACGTCCCAAGGCGCTGGACAGTTGGGTCGGGATCCGAGCAGGGGGGAAATGGTCAGGGTGAGGGGAGGGAAGGGAGGGAGCGAGAAGGGGTAGAGAGTCGAGAGGGGAGCTGAAGGCACGGTTGAAGTGAAGCTGGACGCTGCCAGTTACATTCTTTACTGTCTCCTCTCTGTTCATAGATCCAGTCTCTGACAGCAACTACCAGGCTGCAAACATTCACACATCTTTCCTTCTGCTGTAGTCATCACTATGGCAATGTAATATTCTCACTGACAAGCAAAGCTTTGAACTCTGTATTTTCAGTATCAATTACACTACATATCAAATAATCTTAACAACAACAACAATAATAACAAAATTACATTTGTAGAGCGCCTTTCATGTCAGGATGAAGTCCCTAACACACACACAGACCTGTTCCAGTCATTCATTATCACCTGGGTCAGATCTTTGTAACCCTAGACTCATGTTCTCTTGTTCTACTGTCTTGGAGCATCCTAAAGTATTAATGAGTTTACTTTGGCAATCTCATTTAAAATCATATATACTTCTATAAATTTCCCTCTAACACATTGTTTCTCAAGACTGAAGAGCCCTATGCTGTTTAATCATTGCTCATATCAGTCATTGGTCTAACACTGAAGATCATCCTTGTTGCTCTCCACTGCAGTGCGTCCATGGCTTTGGCTGCATCTTTATGTCACGATGTCCAAATTTGTATATAGTATTCAAGATGTGGCCTGACCACAGCACTTTATAGCTTGAGTAGGATATCTAGAGATCTTAATTCAACTGATTAGGCAATGTAATCCAGAATTCTGCTTGTCTTGTTTATTGCTACCTCACACTGGTTGACATAGTGTAAAATGAGTCAACAGACACCTCTAGATCTCTTTCAGCTTCCCCGGCAACTTCTATCCTATCGGTGGAGTAAATGTATTTCCTATTCCTACAACAACAATGACTTGTATTCATATACAGTACTTCCTATATGTAATACCTTGTATTTATCTATTTGAAAGCAAAACTGCAGGAAAAAAATGTACTTACTGTGCAGACGAGCTAAATCAGCAGGGTCCAAGGCTGTGACAGCATCGGTGGCTCGGGAAGGATTGCTAACACCAGACTTGTTCACCGCCCTGACACGAAAGCGATAAGAACGTCCTTCGTAAATGCCGCTCACGGGGTATTTGCAAATTTTAATCGGGGCATCATTGCACTGGACCCAACTGTCCGTTCCCACTTCACATCTACAAACACAATGGTAATGTCAGACAATCCCACAAACTTTCGCAGAAAACTTGGATAATTATATCAAATGCAATGATTATTTATTTGTAATAATAGTTGCATTTGACATAGTATCTTTCATGTCAGGTAGAAAACACTTTTGTGTGAAGTGTAGTGACTATGTATTTTGTATACGTGATTACCAATTTGCACACAGCAATCATAGAATCAGAGAATCTTAGCATGGAATGAGGCATTCAGCCCATCGTGTTTGTGCTGGCACTTTGAAAGTGCTTTCCTACTGCCTCACTCTTACCCCATAGCCCTGCATTTTTTTCCTTTTGAAGTACATATCCAATTCCCTTTTGAAAGCTATTATCAAATCTGCTTCCAATGTCCCACAAAAGTAGCCATAACGTGAATGACTAATTTTAGTTGGGGGATTGTTAGCCAGGTCACCAGGAGAAACTCTGGTTTGTTTTTGATAATGCCAGTGGATCTTTAACGTCCACCTGAACAGCCAGACGGGATCTCGGTTTCATATCATTTCTGAAGGACGGAATCCCCGACAATGAGTCGCACATTGTATCGGAGCATCAGTATAGTCTATAGGTTCAAAGTTGCATTGTGGGTCTTGAACCCACAACCTTCTGACTCAGTGACAAGAGTGCTATCAACTGAGCCAGGCTGACAACAACAACAACAACAAGATTTCATTTATAGAGCGCCTTTCACGTCGGGAGGACGTCCCAAGGCGCTGGACAGTTGGGTCGGGACCCGAGCAGAGGGGAAATGGTCAGGGTGAGGGAAGGGAGGGAGCGAGGAGGGGGTAGAGCGTCGAGAGGGGAGCTGAAGGCACGGTCAAAGAGAAAGGTCTTGAGACCGGCCTTGAAGGAGGAAAGGGAGGAAGCAAGGCGAAGGCACTGGGGGAGGGAGTTCCAGAGCCACGTTATCCTGCAATCAAGCCTGATCTCTTTCTGCTGTCTGTAATGTGTGTGTCTGTAGCGACAACGATACCTGTCAACAAAGTATCCAATCACCGGGCTTTCTTTTGTTATGTTTGGGGGCTTCCAGGCGAGAATGACATAATCTTTGTTGGCATCGCGGTATTTAATATCCATCGGGGCTCCTGGGGCTCCTACCACTGCAGCCGAAGCATCTGCAAGAGAACAAGAAACGGAACAAGCCAAATCAATGTGATGAGCGCTGACCAGCTCAGGCATTTTTGTCCTTTTCTCCTTTTGTACCGATCTGATTGAACTAAGTTCAGGAGGTTTTCCTTAAACACCTGAACGGAGCAACTACTATCACCCAATGTAGCACCATCCCTCCACCCACACCATCCTCACCCAACCAGCACTAACCAAGTATCCAACATAGATCCACTTATGATCTTATAGAAACATATAAGATCTTATGGGGCTTGACAGAGTAGACAGTGTGAGACTGTTTCCCCTGTTAGGAGAATCTAGAACTAGGGTCACAGTCTTAAGATTAAGGGACAGCCCTTTTGAACAGAGTTGAGGAAACATTTCTTCACTCAGAGGGTAGTAAATTTATAGAATTCTCTACCCCAGAAGGCTGCAGATGCTCAGTCCTTGAACATATTCAAGACTGAGATTGATAGATTTCTAAAGGATAGAGGGATTAAGGGATATGAGGATAAGGCGGGCAGATGGAGTTAGGTTAGAAGATCAACCATGATCTTATTGAATGGCAGGGCAGGCTCGAGGTGCCTAATGGCCTACTCCTGCTCCTAATTCCCATGGTCCTATGTTCCTATGTTCACTGTTGATAATCTCATTACTATCTAGAATGTGAAGAAAATGTCCCCATTTAGTTAAAAGTTGGGGCCCATCTAGAACCACAGAAATTGAAAGCATAGACGAATGGCATTCGACCCATCGTGTCTGTGCTGGCCCTTTTAAGAGCATTCTTTTCACTCTCATTTATCTGCCCTTTCCCCATTCCCTTGCAATTTACTCCTTTGTAGGTATTTATCTAGCTCCCTTTTGAAATCTAATATGCATTCTTCCTTAACTAATGCTCCAGGAGGTCATTCCAAAATCTATTCACTCTGAGCATTAAAAGATTTCTCCTAACCACCCTACTTTCTTATTTCTTAACTACCAGCGCCTTGGGACGTCCTCCCGACGTGAAAGGCGCTATACAAATGTAATCTTGTTGTTGTATCTTAAATTGATGCCCTCTGATCACTGATTCACTGATCCGATCTCATCCTTCCAGAATACCTACCGCAACGTCCTATTTTACAGTGTCAAGTTGTCTCTTGAATAAGCCCAGTGCCCTGGCTTCAACAACCCTTCCTAGGAATCTGTTCCAGTCGCTAATTACCCTCCGTGCAAAGAAATACTTTCTGGTGTCTGTCCTGAAATTGTCCTTTGCAAGGATTGATGAATGAAAAGACAGAGATTCTTACCTTTCACAAACACGAAGGCGCTGTGCTCTGTGACTCCACCCCTGGTTATCAAACGTAGTGTGTACAGGCCTTCATCATCCTTGTTCAGATGAGGCAGGGTTATGGAAGCACAATTATCTGCAAAGTGTATTTCTGCCCACTTGCTCTCCTTTATCTGAACATCTGGGTAAAGAGAAGTTTGGAAAAAAATCTCTGTGAAATATTAATAATCCTCACATTTGATATAGCACTTTATCACATCTTTGAGACGTCTTAAAACGCTTCACAGAATATACTGTAAAGTGAATTAACTGTGCATTTTGTGGGCAAAAAGCAGCAACCAATTGCGTACAGCAGTGTCCCACAAACAGTCGTGGATTGAGTGACCAAATAATTATTAAACATTTTGAAGGGGTTATTACTTAGTTTGGTTTTAAATTTTGTACTTTCCAAGGTAGAAAAGACTAACACAAAAAGTCCTTCATAAGCTCAGGTAATTGTCATAACTTCATAAGTGTTTTGTAGTGATTTGGCACTCAAAGGAATCATAGGGATTAGCTCTCATCTTATCTAGGAGCAAGGGCAGAATACGTTATGAAAGATGCCACCAAGAGACCTTGTTATTCACAGCCTTCCCTGTGCATAATTTAGTGGAAGCAGAGGGAATGTTTGCAAATAAGTTGAACTTGTGAAGTTCTGTAAAGCCGTATGAAAAAGGAACTGAATTTGAACAGGCTGCCTCTGACCTGGCACATATAGAATATAGTATTTCACAGGGACACGACTCTGAAATTGTAGAGATACGTAGCAAGACTGTTTTTTGGGGTTATGCCAACATAAGGTCACGCACATTAGTACCATGCAACCATGTGTGAGCGACATAGAGAAATACTAACCATTTCTGTACCACAGAACATCTGGTTGCAAATGCTTGAGATTTGGATCAAAGATCATGCTGCAGGTCAATGTCATTGTCTCTCCTTCAGTTCCAAAACTCACACCGAAAGCCTCAATAAATTGGACATCGATATGTGTGAAAACTGGGGGGACAGCAGAGGAACTAGAAACAAAAGAATTACAGATTTATAAACTGATGGAGACAATTATTATTTATAGTTAGTGCCTGGTTTTCACCACAACAAAATTAAACTTGATTAGAATGGAAAGGTATTTGGATTAATATTTATGATATTTGGGATGTAAAAGTATTAAGTGATATGGGGAAAAGGCAGGAAAGTGGGATTAAAAGATCTGACATGACCTAACACAGTAAAATAATAGTCTTGATGGGCTGAATGGCCTCCTCCTGTTCCTATATTACAATGGCGTAGAGAAAGAATGTGCTATGAATATGATTTAATTCAAACCTACCTCTTTGACCGTGTCTACAGTGACCCGGTTTTCATATCTAAAGCAGGGAAAGGGAGTCATGAACAGGTAAACTCACCTTCACAGGGGAACTGGCTAATTGACCTCCAATGTACCAGTGCCTCAGGTGAAATTGTGAAATTGCTCAGATTTGGTAAGTGAGTACATTTGTATGACATACAATGCTGCTAGACTTAATAAGACCAATGTGTAGGAAATGTTAGTGTATTCGCTCATATTTTGTGTGCACCCTCTACCTTACAGGACAGCAAAGGAGCTGCCCATACTGAGGCCACAATTAACTTCCGGTTTGAATCTCAAAGCTCCTTTGCAACTCCTGCAGGGTTGGTGGGGATATCTGAGAAATCTGCACCAAACTATAACGCATAGTATGTTTCTATTCTGTCCAGACCATTTGTACACATACTGCACTGTTGCCTCAGAGTTTGGATGGGGTAACAAAGTCCCATTATTTGCTACTGTGTATTGTAACACACCCAAACGTATGCCTCTGACCCTTGGAGGAATTCTTTCGTCTTAGCACTCAAAGCCAGCAATATTTAGTCTGAAAATGGTTATTATGATGAAGTTCTGTCCATCAAATATCAATGCCTGATATTCATGGCTGGTAGCCCTATTTGTCAAAATGGTTCAGAAGAATAAGAGAGTAACAATCTGAACTACATTCATTGAGGTTGGGTGATAAAATCAATGCGGACACTAAACCCAGTCATTCAGCTATTGAGCCTTGTAAGGTATCATTGTGACTTAAACCTATTCACCCTTCTACTGAGGAGGTGTTTCCTGGAAGAGAGTGTCATTATACAGACAGTGCATGCTTTGTCCATACATAAGAGTCTGTGTGCTTAATTATTTTCCCAGTACACTGAAAGCTATTGTAGGTTTTCACTGTCCCTGAAGTTATTCACTATTGCTGGAGTTATTCCTTCTAAATACAAACTTGACTTTTCTCTCTCAGCTTCCAATATGTCATCCATATGATGGTAAGCAATTAGTACAGTCCCAAATGTAAAGATCAACAATGTTCTTGTAAATCCTAATAGGGCTCAATTAGACATAGTTGAAGCCAAAGGAAATTCTAGCAAATGATATAGGTGCACCAGAACAAGGGTGAGATTTAATCTGCTCAGGATGGAGCTGTGTTGATGTACTATTGGGTTTAGTAATAAGCCAAGTAGACGAGAAGGTCTGAGGTACAAATCTCAGTCTGAGCTGCTACCTTATCTCAGCTGTTGAGCTGAGTGGATGAACAGCTTGCAATGGTCATTGTCTGAGCTCAGTTATAAAGAATGTCTATATGGTTGCTGTACAGGAGGGAATCCGTTATATGTGTTACTGTTCCCAGCAAGAGTCAGTGCATTTGGGATGGCAGTGGAGGGGGTGAGGAGAAGAGAGAAACTCATTGAGGTTTCCAAAGTGGGTGAAAAATGTAAATGTAACATATACCTTCATTAAAAAGAGCCACACTGCTGTACAAACAGTCACTTACGTTTCACAGGGAGTAGAACAGAATGGTAAGGCTCTTCTTCCCCTCTGAAACCTTAAAGTGCACAACAATTGAAATTGTTAATCAGGAAATGGAAACCAGCGAGTAGCTGTAAAATTGGGTCAGAAAGGATGACAGCGAGTTGGCTTTGAGACTCACGTTTCACAATGAGAGTGGCATTTGTCGATGTCTGTCCGTGGATGTTGAATGCCACTGCAGTGTACTGAGCAGTGTCACTAAACTCACATCTGGAAAGGAACAATAATTTTTTATTAGTAATGACAGAGTTCATTATTCATACATCATAAAAATCATAAGCTATAACAATTTACCCTATATTTACTCAATTTACTCAATGGAAGGAGTATTGAAACTTAGAGAGAAGGAAAGGTCAGTCTGCTCATTCACCAGCAAAGTGCTGCTTCAGGGAATAATCCGTCTCAAGTCTTCCAGCCCTTCCCTACTCCCTCCACTCCCTGTTCTATCAGCAAGTTCTGAACTTGTGCTTGATTTGAACTAGTATCTATTACATTTATTGCTGGTATTATCCATCAGGGTCTGACTCTGGAAGGTGGTAGTATGTTTAGCACACTGACAATGTGCGTGTACAATGTGATTTCCCATTATAATGAGATGATATTGTTCTTCCCTATTATAATGGGCTGATTTTTGAAATCTTTTTAAAATATTTAACACAATGATGACTAACCATGCAACTGATAAAACAATCTTCCTCTTTGTGGCCCTTTTTAATAACAATTAGTCTTAATGTTAGAGTTTTGACTATGAACATGACTTAACTAATTCTCGAAAGAGAGTAGATCTTTAAAAATGCAAGGGTAGAGATGCATTAAGTGATCTATTATTCAGTATATTATTTATGTATCCAGGGCTTGGGTTCTACCCTGGTTGGAAACCAGAGAGGTAAGCAGCTCCTGCTGAAACTTTGCACCTCCAACTGGTGGAATCCTACAATGAGTAGGCATGTGTTTGAGCTGTGGAGGATGGCAGTAAGGCAGGGTCTCCATGGGTTGGAACTGGCTTCAAAGTGGCGTGCCTGGCAATGAAATATTGCCAGACAGTGATCCCAAAGATAAGCTATGCGGTTTTAGCTAGTTAAATTTCAGCAGTACCCCCAATAAAATCCCAATTCCAGATAAAATCCAAGATTGATGAAATTCAATAACTTTGTTATGTATTTTGATACAAACGTATTGAATTTAATCAATACCAAGTAAATACCCAGAGCTCCTTGAACCCATCAAGAAAATCTAACAAACGATTGTTTTTAAACATTCAAATGTGATAATTATGGATTTGGATGGTGGTTAAGTTGAGTCTTGATTAAGTTGATGTAGCATAAAATAATGGACGAGAAATTTCCTGAGACTTTTAACATGATCAAGAGTTAGGAGTTACACACTCAAAAAAGGTACTGTCAATCATTTGTGCAGCAGCTACCAACTGAGAAATATCTATCCCCCAGTGACCTATAAAATATATGAAAGCAACCTCAGCCTTCTTTGAGTTGAGACTGATTTGAAATATTCAGGCTATAAATTGTTTGTGAAGATCAAGACATGAAACGTGTCCTGTTCTTATTTACGCCGTGTGTATTTGCAGCCTCAAGTCTCCAATAAAGATATACTGGATTATCTCAGGACTTAGACTTGCTGTGCTGCAATGATTTGATTAGGATCATGTTACTGTGCAGTACACTGAAAAATCTATGTCATTCACCATGTGTCCTTTGTATGATTAATGATACTGTTTCTGCCTGACCAGTCTCAAGCATTCCAGTATCTACCACTAGATGGAAATGCAGGAGCCAATATATGTGCCTAACTCACGTAGGATTTATACCAGTGAAGCTGTTTCCAACATTGTTTCCAACGTCAGGACATGTCATGTCTTCAGCAAAACTGCACTTGCCAGGTGCTAACAAGAGCTTCAGCCATGATCAACTACACACAGGTGTCTTAGTTCCCTCAGCCAAAACAAAACCCCAGTTACATTTTATAATAATCCTTGCGTTTGACACAGTGCCTTATCACATTGTTGAGACTTCTCAAAGTGCTTCACGGGTCTTTACTGTACAGTGGAGTGACTGCATAATTGTAGGCGAATGCGGCAGTCAATTTGTGCACAGCAATATCCCACAAACAGACATGAAGTGAATCATTAATTTTACCTGGGGGATGGTTGGCCAGGACACAAGGAGAAACTCCCTTCTCCTTTAACCTTACGTACATTAAAATGTCTAAATAATTGGACCCCCTCACAAGAAAATGTAAAGTTAATGTTCAAGTATTAAAATTGTCTGAACAAATGGATAAAATGAGATGAAGTCTGCAGCCAGTAAGTGGAAGTGCCTTGTGCCAAACTCACAGGAAGTCCCTTCATTACAAACTTCTGATGCAGAGTAATGATGTTGCATTGTCAGATGACACATTTAAACCAAGGTCCCGTCTGTCTGCCTCGGAAAGTTCCCATAGAATCAATTAAAAAGAGAAGGGAGTTTCTCCTGGAGTCCCAGCTAATAATCCTCCCAGATAAGATTGGTCATTCACTTCATGGCTATTCATGGGACGCTGCTGTGTACAAATTGGCTGCCATTACTTGCCTACAAAATACAAGTCACTTATTTTATACAGTCAATCCTGTAATGCACTTTGCGACATCCTCCTGATGTGAAAGGTGCTATATAAAATGCATTATTATTCCTTATAATTAGTTGTTTTTGCAAATAAATATTGCAAATTAGGCAGCTTTTGATATTCACAAACTAATTTTGTATTGACATATGAAATCCAGTTTACAAATACCATAACCTAATATATTGTAGTGTACACAATTTCCCCTGGAATTATATTTCCTAAGATAACGCAGATGCAGTTGGCCAGAATTATGTCATTCTCAGAAAAGTTGGGATTTTGTATGTAAAATAGGATCTAGGTATAGTCGTAGCTTTAGCACAATTGCATGAAATCATTAAAAGACAATTTTCAGTTTTTCTTTAAAGGGTGTGGATAACAGAGCAAAGAATTGCTGACTTTATTTTTATGCAGACAGATGTCAAAATCTTACACATCATCGGATATTTTTGAAAGCGACAGGACAGACTTAGATAGAAGAGGTTAAGAGGGGTTTCGAATCACCGCCTTGACATCACTTTAGCAACAGGGAGATTGCCAAGAGATTCCAGTCTGCTGAAAATGAGCAGGGAGCAGATGGCAGACAGCTCAGCAAATTTGGTGGGATTCACAAGGTCCATGTTGCGAATGAGGAAAGCAGATTACATCTTCCTTCCACGTCAGAAGGAGAGGAGACTTCAGAGAAATATGTGGGGTTTAATGTGTGGGTTCTGCCAATCCTGCATGAGCACATGTGTAGAGAGCTAATATATTAGTGCTCTTCATTATATACTTATTAAAAAAAAGTAGGATAATAGTCCTTCCAAAAAACATTTGTCACACAATCCATGACTGCTTATGGGACACTGCTGTTCGGAATTGGCTGCTGCGTTTCACCGACAAAATACACAGTCACTCCACTTACAATATATTCTGTGAAGCGCTTTGAGACGTCTCAACAACATGGTAAGGCTATACCAAATGCAAGGATTATCATTTTTATTAGATTCTGTAATATTTTGCTTTGGGTAAGAATAGAATGGATAATTCTCAGATCATTGATATATGTTCTGATCTTGGTAATTCAGAACATCTTATTTCCTGTTGGCTGGTAAATTTACCTGCTCTTGTGGTACACGTCTTGGATTCACAAGATCCATTTAAACTAACCCCTCCAAGGTAGGAAATTGTTCTGACCAGCTGAGAATCAGACATGTTCACAAAAATCATTAAATGACCACATATCAGAGAATTATTCCAGTGACTGAATATAATTCACAGGCAACAATAAAACGCTGTTCACAATGATATTCATACATCATTAAAATAAAACGGGATAGAGTTGGGTTGTCTGCCCACTACAGGTGGGTGAACTTTCAACCATTTTGTCCCCACTCCCTGGAACGCCATCCCGAATTCCCACTACCTTGCCCGATGCTTCCAGCCTTCAAAACCTACCATAAAATTATCATTCCAAGCCATCGTTTGGCCCCATCCACTTCCCTTCATCAGCTCCCCCCATCAGAAATCAGACGGATGTGTTAGAGTGCATGACAAATAATAATAATAATCCTTGCATTTGATATAGCGCCTTATCACGTCTTCGAGGAGTCTCAAAGCACTTCACAGAATATACTGTAAAGTGGAGTGACTGTGTACTTTGTGGGCGAAACACGGCGCATCATGGATCGAGTGACCAAATTATTTACTTATTATTTCTTTTAAAGATGGAAACACCTGAAAGCCGGTCAGAGCAACAGACTTAGAGTTAACATTAAACCCTCCAAACATCCCTGAGCTGTGCCCGAGATGTGGGATCTTTCTTTACCAGTCAACAAGTGACTTTACCCCCCAGCTATCATTCAATTCCCAGAGCATCGCTAGTGGTGGGTCTTACTGTGGGACATAAAGCAGATACTACAGAATCTTTCGACAGAATATTTTAGATGGCTCTTGTCCCAAGCTCACTTATGTTCTCATGTGTAATCTCACCTACTAATTTCCAAAGAGTGGACTCCGTAGTAGCTGTCAATCCTGTATTTGCCTGGCTCGCTCGCTGTCCCAATGATAACGTCATCCTTATACCTACAGAAAAAAACCCACAAATAATTCAGGTGTTCTGGTTTCATAAATCGTTTCCACATTGTGTATAAATACAGAATTAACGCAACAACCTTGCTCTCAGCTTCCCTTCCATTCCTGCTAATGTGTCAGGCTGGCTCAGATGGCCTCTGAGACATAAGGTGGAGAGTTGAGTTCCCATGCTGGGGTTTTGAACCATTGGAGTCAAAGCTGACACTCCAATACAGTGCTGTGGTGTGCTGCATTGCTCAGTGTACTGTTCTTCGAATGAGATGTTAAACAGATGTCAATATGCAAACTGACCGCTGCATTTGCCTATAAAATAGCCAGTCACTCTCTAGAAAAATCTGTGTTTTGAGTTATTTTGACTTAATAAGCTATTACATCAAATGCAAGGATTTTTATAAATATGGATATTAGGTACTGTGGATCTGTACATTTAAGAAAATAATCAAAATTCTTTAATTATTAACTGGCTACTGGAGGTGATGCCTCATTAAATACAATAGAGACTATTTATATTTATACAGGATCTTTCATGTCGGGAGAGTGTCTCAAAGGGCCTCACACTGTAGTTTAGGCATCTGAGCCAGGGCCTGGGGCGCAAGGTGATGGGAAAATGAAAGATAACTGAAAATGCGGTCAAAGAGGTAATAAAGTTATGGTACGAAGTTATGTTAAAGTTATGGTACAACCACAACAACTTGCACTTATGCAGCACTTCCACATAGAGTAATGTATCAGAGCGCTTAACAGTGGTGGAGCCTGACCAAGCCGGAGGGGGAAGGTGGCTGTAAGCACGGTCGAAGAGGAAGGTTTTCAAATGGGACTGGAAAAAGGGGAGAGAGTGGGCAAGCCAGAGGGATTGAGGGAGAGTGTTCTAGATCTTCGGGGCGTGGTCGCTAAAAGCGCAACCTCTGATTGTGAGGCGGAGGGTGCGAGGGATAAACAGGAGGCTGGTGCCAGTCGAGCGAAGGTGTTGGATTGGGTAGTGAGGAGGTCGGAGAGATATGGAGGTGCCAGAGAGTGAATAGATCTGTTTGGTGATGGGGAGCCAGTGGAGCCTGGCCAGAACTGGTGAGATGTGAGTACGGAGTTTGGTCCGGGTCAGTATGTGGGCGACAGAGTTCTGAATGAGCTGGATCTTTCAGATCAGTACAATCGATTGAGTGGGTGTTTTCTGGATTATCATACAAAGCTTCCTACACAAAATCTTACACCCTAGCATTATCCCTCAAACAACATTGTTTACAGATTATCAGGTCATTACAGGATTAGAAGGCTCCAGTGTGATTTACTCAACCACTAATGACCTAAGAATCCATGTAACTTCCTAACATTCCTAGTCTTGCGTCCTTTCTGAAAAATCTGCTTCGAAAAGTCCTATGGAAATTTTCAAGTTAAGCCATTGGATTGTAACAGCTTTGGAAAGCAGCATTATAAACAGAAGAACTAATTCCGCATTCCATCCTTACAGCCGCAGCCAAACTACTCTTACTCCAATAGGTGTGTCTTTGTAAGATAATAACAATCTTGAGTAACAGCATAAGCTCTGCACTGAGCAGAAACTCCACACCAAATTCCCACAAGAAAAGTCAAGTTTCAGCTCTGCACTTCCTGAAATCATTCCCTTCCCCCCAATTGACTTACCATCTAACCTGTGGCATAGGAAACCCTTGCACGGTGCAGAACAATTTCACGTATGATTTCTCCCACACGGTGTGGGACCTCAACCTGACAAGAAATTCAGGAGCCCGGCTTATGGCGTCTTCGCAGAGCAGTCTCTGCACAGTTGCCCTTTCCTCTTCCTGTTTTCACACAATTAAGCGGAGAAACAAAACACATCGTTAAAAGTCATCTCGAAATGAGAGTTGTTATGTTCAACTTGATAATAATAATCCTTGCTTTTGATATAGTGCCTTATCACGTTTTCGAGATGTCTCAAAGCACTTCACAGAATGTAAAAGTGAATTGACTGTATTTTGTGGGCAAAACGCAGCAGCCAATTGCACAACAGTATCCCACAAATAGTTATGGATTGAAATGACCAATTTTTTTTGTGTGAAGGAATTATTACCCCCGGAAAAGCGATCCACCAATTGACTAAAAAACAGGTTCCTACTTACTGCTAGGTAAACAGAGGCGTGTGAAAGTAAGGAAACTTGCCCACCGTTTCGTCTTGCCAGGAATTCAACCCAGGTCCCTCGCTTGCAAGGTGAGTGTTCTAACCACTGATCTACAGGACTCAACAAATCAATGGTCTGATGAGGACTTACCATCCTGTGGAAAGCCAACATGTCCAACTGTTCTCGGGTGACATGTCTGCTCTTGCTGAGTTCTTGCTGCATCTGGCGTAGCTCTGTGTGGTACATCATTCCTTTAGAAGCGGAGGCCTGGTGCAACTCCTCATGGCTCCTGTCACAAGATCACAAGAGAAATTCAGGTCAACAAGTCCCTTCACAACCATTTGATTTTATACCCACGCTACTATCAACCACACCACAACAACAAATTACATTTGTACAGCACCTTTCACGTCGGGAGGACATACCAAGGTGCTGGACACTCAGGGATTTGGACCCGAGCTGGGGGTTGGGATCAGGAGTGGTGGAGGGCAGGGACGATACAGTTAGGAGGGTGACCGAAAGTGCACTCAAAGAGGAGGGTCTTGAGACAGGCTTTGAAAGAGGTAAGGGAAGGGACGAGGTGAAGGTACTGTGGGGTGGAGTTACAAAAGGCGGGGCCAGAAAGGCTGAAGACCTGACCGCAGATTGTGGGTTGGGCCGGGCAGGGGATAAGGAGCAGACCGGAGTGTCCTATTGCCCGTCAAGCTGTTTCTTCGATGAATCCAGTGTCTTGGGCACAGTCGGTATTACCCTTTTGATAAAGGAATGTTGCCAGGTGTCTGTCCTAAACCTGTGGTCTCCTGTTCGGCTCAGGATGAATCCAAAAATACAGTTTTACGTTTACTCTCTCGATACCGTTTAAAATATTACCTACCTCTATAAGATCCCCTCTTGAGATGTCTCCTTTCAAGACTGCAAAGTAGTTCTCAAGTGAGAACACTGGGATCTATCGTATAAAATTGCTAAAAGTAATAATTTTTGTTACTTTCTCTTAATGGAATACTCTTGTATGTAGGTAACAGTAACGCGTCAGTATAGAACATCAGTTATACCTGATCCTTAAGGAGGGTGCAACATGTTCATGAACTTCTTGCCCAAAGCAACTGCAGATTCTTTTTGCATGAGGACAGAGTTGTTCTGAAGCTCCTTCGACTTTTGAAAGTTCCCTTATCAAGTGAAAAGAGATTTTTTTAAAAACAAAGCAAAAAGCCTCATATCCGCATCCCAACTATGCGATGCAGAAGTCAAGTCGAGCTGCGATGTTGCGGATAGGTTTTTAGTTGTGCTGAACCGGCAGATGAAGATATAAGATTCAAGAGAACACATGTACACATATAAAAACACAGTCAGAGAAGCAGACACAGACCAACAAACACAAACACGCAGACAGTTAGAGAGCAGAGCAACACACACACAATCATACACAATGACGCATCATCAACAGGAGTCTGATTAGCGTGGATATCAAGCTCTTTGTTATAAATTGGATTGACATTAAAGTAAGATAAAACACATAACACTACCCTAAACAAATAACACAATATTGTAAATAACATTAAGATAAGAAAGCTTCGGTCACACATTTTAAGTGCATTTAATTCCAAAGCACTGCAATTAGATGCACAACATTTACCTCCTCTAAACCTCCATTCTAAATCAGAATAACCCAGATTTCAATTCTGTTGTGTTGACAGAATTGTGTTGACATGTTTATAACAGTATGGAAGAAAATGGATTCATATTTAAGATTGTAAAATTGGTTCAGATGAGAAAAGCCCTTTATCTCATTTGATTTCATCCCTCCAAAATACCCACCCGATTGTCCTCTCAACACACATGAAACTGTTTTCTTAAAGAGTCCAGTGTCCTGGCCTCATCCACCCTTCCTGGCAACCTGTTGCAGTTGTTAATTACCCTGTGGGTAAAGAAAGACTTCCTGGTGTCTGTCCTGAAATTGCCCTTTGCAATATCTAAACCAGTGTTTTCTTGTTCTCCTGTCTTGGTGCATTTTAAAGTATTATTCTGGGTTTACGTTTTCAATACCATTGAAAATGGTATATAAAAGCATTGAACTCTGTATCAATCATATGGGTTTGACATGTTGGTGTGGGGCGGTGGAGAGCTGGAGCCTGGAACACATCATGTTTATTATGAAACCTTAAGATCGTGCAGAATTTTGGAAAACAACTTCAGAATTTAGAAGCTGAATTTTCTACAGCTCTTCTACAAGGAGTGAAATTCAGGGATTTGGGAAAAACGCAGATAAAATGATTGTCCTTTAAAAGAGCCAACACAGCTCTTGGGCTGAATGGCCTTCTTCTGTGCTGTCAATTTCTGTGGTTTCTAAGTTCTGCGGCAAATCGGTTTCCATATCAAGACTGATTTTAAAATTGCTTTCCAATGTTCCGCACAACCGTAAATTTTAAAACCATGGTCTTAAGACTCAGAAGACATGAGAAATTTTCAGGTCTTTGGTCCTTACCAGAGACTGACTGAGATCTGCAGGAAGAAGGAATCTCTAAACAGACTAGTTTGTCAGGCAAAGAAGAACTATGAATGCTGTGAATCTGAAATAGAACAAGTTAAAGCAATGGAAACACACAGCAGGCTGATCAACATCTGCAGAAGAAAGTTAGGTCAATATTTTGGGTGTAACCAAGCTAGGGTTATTGCCAGAAAGAAAAAAGAGCCTTTTTTAAACAAAAACAAGTTAGAATTGCGCAATGCCTTACCACAAGTAACTGTTGAAGCTGAGTCCATACCAGCATTGTGAAGGGAAATGGATGATTAGTTGATGATTTTGTAAAAAAAATTACAGGAAAATAGCAAGGGAATGGATTAAAATAGATATCTTCAGTGGTAGATGAGCATCAATGACATGATGGGCCAGGTGGACTCCTTTAATGTAAACCTCAATAAATGAATTGATTAAACCTCATCAAGATGTCTCCAAGTGTTTCATAGAATTTAACTGTGAAGAGTAGGGACTGTATGTTTGTCAGCAAATGTGGCAGCCAATTTGTACACAGTCATATCCCACAAAAAGCTATGAAGTGAATGACCAATTTTATTGTTTTACAGCACACTGGGAGAAACTCCCTTCTCTATTGAATAATTCACATGTCATTTCAGAAAGATTTAGCTCTATAACAATAACAACAAATTATATTTGTATAGCGCCGTCACATTGGATAGACGTCACAAGGCGCTGGACAGTTCAGGGTTTGCACCCGAGTTGGGGGTTGGAATCAACAGTGGAAGATAGGAGGAGTTGGGTGGGAGTGTGGCCAAAGGCACAGTCTATAATGTCAACACCCCAGTTAAGAACTTGGAAGGTACTTTCATTAAAAAAAAGTTGGGGTTATTTCTGGAACTATTTTAGAGTAGAGCTTAAATTTAAATCGCAGGCTGTAGCTTCCTTAAGGCCATGAAAAGCTTTGGTGCTGTGCAGAGTGACATCCATCAGTGACCCTCGCCAGCCAAGCTGTGCCACAGTAACAGCTGAGCAATTTGACAACATTTGGCACATCGAGCAGCCACCCCAGGTCAGCTGCTGACCTCTGCGATTCTAGCCATGCCACTTCAAAGCCAATCCCAATCCCACCACCGGGGGCAGGAGGGAAATTCTCCCATCGACAGCAACTTTGTGGAGCCTGACAGACGCCAAGGCCCATATTACTGTCCGCTGTTCAACAAATTTACTCATAACCCACAACTCCTATTGCAAGCTCACATTGCCAAGGTCAGTAGTTTGCTTCTCCGGTATCTTATTTCAGATTGGAAGACTTTAATAGATATAAGTAGTGGTTTGGACTCAGCAATGATACTTCAAATGATATGTAAAACCAAATGATTTCATCTGACTATTCAGGTGGATGTTAAAGAATCCATGGTATGATTCGAAAAGAGAAGGATGTTTCTCTTGATGTCCTGACCAACAATCTCCCAGATGAAATTGGTCATTCACTTCACGGATCTTTGTTGGACATTAATATGCACAAATTGGTTGTCGCGTTCGTCTATAAAATACAGTTTGCAGTAAATCTCACAACGTGCTTTTGAGATGTTCTCCCGATGTGAAAGGCACTGCATCAAAGGGTTACCACAACAACTTGCATTTATTTAGCACCCTTCATGCAGACAGCATCGTGGAGTCCTGTAGCTCAGTGGTTAGAGCACTCGCTTTGCAAGCGAGAGACCTGAGTTCAATTCCAGGCAGGGCAAAACCTTGGGCAAGTTTCCTTACTCCACACGCCTAATAATAATCCCTCCAAAACCCAAACAATAATAAATTGGTCATTTTCAATCTACGACTGTTTGTGGGACATTGCTGTGCGCAATTGGCTGCCGCGTTCGCCCACAAATATACAGTCAATTCACTTTACAGTGTGTTCTGTGAAGCGCTTTGGGACGCCCTCCCGACGTGAAAAGCGCTATATCAAATGCAAGGATTATTATTATTATTATCTCAGAGTGCTTTATTATTGTTATTTTATTATCTTATTTATTTGTTTATTTGTTTTTTATGTGTTTATTTGTTTATTTATTGTTTGTATTATTATTTCTTGTCTGTGTCCCAGTGGTTTTACTTGAAGGAATGTGGTGGATGTGACTGGTATCAAGGATTGTTATGTGGGACTTGAAACCTACAACTTTCCGACCTAAAGGCAAAAGTGTTACTGACTTGTCAAGCTGAGGTCGTGACCCAACACTTAATAGAAACTACTTCAACAGTAATGGTAAAACTACAGTGACATAATGGTCTCTCTCCAGTGCATATGAGGTGTTAGATATTGTTAAACATTAATCATTAATTGTATAATGTTCCTTTAAGAGCCACAGAGCCCTTGCAGTATGTTTCCATCTCTGGCTATTTCTCATGCTCAAGCAAATAGCTTTTTAGTATATATTTTTAGTATATTTTTAGCATACACTCCTTTATGAATTACTGATAGCTATTAGCTGCTGACCAAATTAATTCTAGTTTCAAAATTCAATTGTTTTTGTTTAGTGTCTTGAATCAGATAGTGTAGATGCTTTCAAGAGGAAGCTAAACCTTCACATGGGGGAAAGGAGAATAGAAGGGTATAGGAGGAAGGAATGGTTGGTGACACGTGTTCAAGGCATTAATAATCTGCATTTTATAAAAGGTTTTCTTTGAAGATGTCAATGTACTCCAATCATTAAAAATAGCAATCTATTTGCAATATTGTATACCACATTTTGTTGGTCAGGTGGGTGACCGACACATAGGGGAAATCCATCATCATGGTTAAGAGTATTCAAATCAGAAAGAGGGTTCCACGTGTGTGCTACTTGCTCATTGAAATGGTTACTTATTATGAGAAATGAATGTACAGAACCCACAGAGCAATAGAATTACAGAAAGAGTCAGCGAAGGAGGCCATTCAGTCCATCAAGCAAATGAAGACATCAGCTCATCCACTGGAGCTAAGCAACTTTAATCCCTGCTCTTTCCTCAGTAGCATGTTATTGCAGTACTTCAAGATACCTGTTCCTAAATCGAGGCACGGTATATTCGTCCTCAAGGCATCTGCAAACTCTTTTAACACGAGGGCTGAACCTGCCAGACTGAGATAAAACTCTGGCCGAAGAAGCTTCGATTGTTGATGCCGCCCTTAAGAAGTCGAAAAGAAAGTGAGTGATTTTGTGTTTGAAAAAACAGCAAAAAAACACATTTGCGTTCAATTCTGGTCTCCGCATGACAGGAAGGAAACTTTACGTCAAAGATGGCACAATGACGGGAACTAAATCGATGGGTGTAATTAGACATTGAGTTACTTAGCAAGTGTGCAGAAGTTGGGGACATTCAAAGTGGAGAGGAACAACCTTGCAGGAGATCTTCTCAAAGTATTCTATGTCCTAACGTGTGCAGATAAATTATTATTATTATTAGATAATTTGAACTCTAATAAATGGATCTAAAATGTGACAATTTAAACAGGTTTCCTTAATGACTCTGAATGCGGACTCCTTCCGGTAACCAGAAATACGTTTTGCCAATAATAATCCGTCTATTTAGACGCAGCGCCTAAACACGTCAAAACATCTTACAAAACTGCAATATTTTGGGAGCTCTGCTCTGAGAGTAGATCACAACAGAGGTCATTCCCACAAAATACACAGTCAATTCACTTTACAGTATATTCTGTGAAGCGCTTTGAGACGTGTCAAAGATGTGGTAAAGAGCTATATCAAATGCAAGGATTATTATTATTATTATTCCTGCTAATTGCTACGAAATACTTTTGGATTCCTTGAAAGCATTTTAGACCCCAGTGTGTTGAACACATTCAAAGGGTCTAGAACAAAGGAACATCGACTCAAAATTAGAATAGAGAAGATGAACCGAGAATTCAGGTTTAATTAATATACGAAGAGAACAGCGAGTGTGTTGGATAGTTTATCTCAAGATCTGTGGAAGAAGATTGTCACAGCAAATTAAAGAAGGAATTACAACATATAAGAACGTAAAAAATGCTAGAAGAAAAAAAGACCAAGGTCCATCTAGTTCGGTTTCCACCTTCCTGGCGGTCGCATGCACATATGTCCCGAACTACCTATGTACTATATCCCACAATATTATTTCCTAACAGAAAACACTTTCTGCTTCAACTGTCTCCCTAGGGAGCCTGTTCCACAGGTTCACTATTCACTCACTGAAATAATGTTTCCGTAGGTTTGTTCTGAATTTACCCCCTTCAATCGCAGGCCATGTCCTCTGGTTCTACTATACTGGACAAGTTGAAATAGCCCGTCATGTTCGACATTGTCTAGCCCCTTTAGAATCTTAGACATCAGTCATGTCACCTCTCAGTCATCTCTTTTCCAGCGTGAACATGCCCAATTTTTAGTACATCGCTCCTCATAGTCCAGTTCTTCCATTCCCTCAATCATTTTGGCTGCCCTCCTCTGTATCCTCTCGATTTCGCCCATTTCCTATTTATACTGCGGCGACCAGAACTGTACACAGTACTCTAAATATGGACTCATGAATGATTTATACAGTGGCAGGATTACACCACTATTTCGGCTTGCTATTGATCTTTTAATACACCCCAACATCTGGTTTACTTTACTCACTGCCACAGAGCATTGTAGCTCTCGCTTTATTCAATCAGTTAACTATTTGGCAAAAAAGATATAAAAATACAGAATGGAATTGGGCAAGTTTACACAGTCGATTCTGTACATTCTTGTATTCATATGTACATTATTACATTCATATTACATTCAAAATATAATTTGCTGTTCATATGAGCTGTGTTTCAAGTGATCTGTGCTCATACAGTTTGTCAGTCATTTTGTGATTGAAGTTATAACATTCACAAAAAAAATTCTGTGCGGTAATTCCAAATTCCAGTTTGGAGTAATTTCAGGATACCCCACCAAATTCATAGAACCATTCAGCACAGAAGCAGGCCATTCAGCCCATTGTGCCTGTGCCGGCTCTTTGAAAGAGCTATCCAACTAGTTCCACTCCGTCTCCTACTCCCCCACTTTAACCCCATTCACCACAATTTACAAAAGAGACCATGATCCTGATGACAGGCATTTAGAGGCCAATGGTTTGATTTCCAAATCTTTGCTTCAATCAAAAAACGTCCAGAAAGGAGGATAGCAATCCTGAGAGTGATTTCCGTTTCTCAGTCACAATCTAGAAGTCACATTTATTGCAGAGATTACTCAGTTGGCAAAAATGCTCCTATTTTCAATCCTATTATCTCCCACCAACTGTTATCCTGCAAGTTATTCCTGTGGGAAGAGAGCTCTCAGCTCCTCACCTGCGTCTGGAGCTGCTGCTGTATTGCTTGACCATGGAGCGGGTATCAAGACTGCGGTAGTTATAGTCATAGTGTTTGTGCTTCGATTGGTAAAACGGTACCACCTTTGATGCCATGGTGCCTGGCCTGCCTGTTCCCAAATCTGAAAACAAAATCCATACAAATTATTACATATAGATATGAATGTCCTGGAAACGAGTGTCTCCGAATTGTTTGCCAAGCGCAAAATATTGATTAAATGGATCCTTTCGCTTTTAACAACAACAACAACTTGGATTTATATAGCGCCCTCCTCGCCGGACGGCGTCTCAGAGCGCTTACAAAACATACAACTTTCAGGTTACCTCGTTCCTCCTGAGAGTATTGTTTAAAGTGTACAGTCAATTCACTTATTAGTATATTCTATGCAGTGCTTTGAAATGTCTTGAAGATGTGATAAGGCGCTATATCAAATGCAAGGATTATTATTGTTATCAAAGCGATACATTTAGACAACAAATTTGGAGAATCAGTCTTCTAATCCTGCTATTTACATCTCCATCCAAATCGTATTCAGGTGACGGAGAATAGTTAGTATAGAGAGTCGTTTGTGCCTGCCATTTCTATAAGTATCCTAATATATTTACAAGGATCCCTGGTGCGGCTATAGATAAGGGAAAATATTTCCAGTCCCGAGATCACTCATTCCACAAGATTTTCCTTCTCCAGTGAAACTACAACAAAACTTGCATTTATATAGCGCCCTTTGTGTGGGATAGCTTCCCGGAGAGCTTACAACAACAAAGAATCTACTAAGGTTTACCGGGTCACAAATATTTCTCTAAGCCTCAATGGCACTTCGCTTCTTGATGATTACTTTACATCATCTTTTGGAGCTGCAGTGAACTTAGGGAGAAATTTTTTTTTAAAAAAATGCATAGAGGGAAACAGGAGTGAGAAAAGCAAAGAACAAACAAAAATACAAGGACCAAGAGAAATATTAGCAAAGAGAATTAAAAAAACCTAAGTAAATTACATTACAACAATAACTTGCATTTATATAGCCCCCTAAACTCAGAATAGCGTTTTGAAGCACTGAAATATTCTTACACTATATTACAATACATTAGATAGCCTTAGATTTAGAAACAAAGAAATCTAAAATGCAGTATTTCTTAAAAGCTTTTTAATAAGAATTATGAAATTTGACAAACCTTGAATGTGAGGAAAAATGTATTCTTGAATTTTTAAAAAATATATTGAATGCTTTGATATGAATTCTTCAGCAGCCTCATATTAAAACAACAACAACATGCATTTAATATAGCGCCTTTCACGTAGGATGGCGTCTCAGAGTGCTTCAGATTAAGAAATCTGTTACACAATACCGCAAGTTAGACCCCAATACCCTGTGAGAGACAAGGGATCAAGAAATGGACAGAGGCAATTAACTGTCTCACTGTGTTTAATAAATAACTCTAACATTTGACTTTGGGAGACTTACTGTCCCCACCTCTGGAACTCTATCCTGGAATCACCTCAACTCGCTCCCTTGATTGCCTCCTTCATGGGCCATCTCAAGACGTTCCTCTTTGACTGTACCTTTGATCAACCTCCCGCCTCCACCCTCCTTGCCCTCCACCCCTCTTGACTCCAACGCCCAGTTCGGGTGCAAACCCTTCACTGTCCAGCACCTTGGGATGTCTTCTCAACGTGAAAGGCGCTGTGTAAATGCAATTTGTTGTTGTTCATTTACGTTTAGGTTAACATAAATAGGCTGTTTCCACTGGTTGGAGAGTCTGTAATCGGAGGACATAAATATATGATAGTGACTAGGGGACCTAAAAGAGAATTTAGGAGCAACTAGCTCACACAGAGGCTAGCGAGATTGTAGAATTCGCTGCCCGAAGCAATGGTTGAATCAAATAGTATAGATGCATTCAAGAGGAAACTAAACTTTCACCTGAGAGAGAGGGGAATAGAAGGGTATGGAAGAGAGATAGGAATGGGTGAAGACATGTACAGTATAAACACTGTCCCGAATGGCCTGTTTCCATGCTGTACATACTTTGATTCCATCACTGTTATGTACTGATGCGTGGTTTTAATGAAAGTTGCTCACTGTCACCTCGTTCGAGTTGAATTGCCGTTATCACATTTCTCCCTGTCTTTGGTGGCTGACAGCCACGTCTTGCTTTGTTACATGGAACATGACAGCTCCAGGATTAAAAATCACTGCATTCTCCACATTATTATCAGACCGATTACTTCTGCAATCGGAACCTCCATTGAAACCAGATACAAGGCACTTCATGTTGGAGCTGATGTCAGTGGCTCTTGTTGATTAGTGTGAGAACAAATGTCAATCAAGCTTCCAAGCATAGAGCTAAAAGAAGTCACATGGGAACATACAGGACTGGAAAACATTGCAATCTATGTGGTTCGTCTCAAAATAAACACAATATAAAACTCGTAAACTATACCATTGCTAATCCCCTTCAATCCATTTCTTTGCCAAATAGCTATCTAATTCCCTCTTCCATTTACTAAGACAATGTCTCCGCTGGCTCCTGGATAGTTTATTCTATATATTTTCCATGATGTGCTTAAAATAAGCACTCTGAAGTGCTACCCTCCGTGAGGGGTGCTATATAAATGCACATTGTTGTTAAAATACTCTAAATTGTCTGTTCACGTTCCCTCTTCTGATGATGAGTCTGTATCCCCTTTCTAGATCTTCTGACTAATAATATGCTAAACATTTTATTCAGATTCAGGCCATCTACACCCTTTATATTCTTCATTACTTCAATATGATCTCCTCTGAGCCTTCTCCTTTCAGTGAGAACATTCCTATCTTCCTTAGACTCTCCTCATAACTCAGGTGTCCAATTCCAGCTATTAATCTACTTGCCCTTCAGTGTAACCTCTCCAATATAAGATGTCCTTACTGTATTATGGCAACACGAATTGTACCCTGTACAACAGGTGTGGCCAGATCAGTGATCTGTACATTTTCAGTATTATTTCCTGTGACATATGCTATACGTTCTCCCTACCAAATACACAGTCACTACACTTTACAATAAGTATTGTAAAGTGCTTTGAGATGTCATCTCACCATGAAAGGCTCTAATCAAAGGTAAGGATTATTATTATTTATGTCTCTAACTATACAACATTAGTTCTTGCTTGCTTGCTTTCTCACCTCATATTTATCCACCAGTGTCCTGTAGACTGACTAATCCAGTTTTGTTTTTCATTTCACTTTATATTCTCCTTCCCGAATCTCATCATTTTGCAATTTCATCGGCCACTTCCTTAAGAAACACCTCCCTAAGTAACAAGTTTCTGAACTTTTCAGTTCAATAGTTTCATGTGATATGCATGCATTCAAGAATGTTACTAAAAGCATAAAAGGAGAGAGTCAGCAATTGCTTTACACAAACAGATATTAGGATGTGGAACATGTTACCATAAGTGGAGGTTGTAGTTGGGTCAGTTGCCATATTTAAAAGGGAATTAGATAAACATTTGAAAAATGAATATATTTAAGTGACATGAAGAAAACCGAAGGATGCAGGATTAATGTGCACAGTTCCTCCTGTGCTGTGACTCTATGTATTCATAAAACATGTCAGCAAATGAGGTGCATTTTATAGATGTATCTGGTGTTTTCTGATAGACTACAGAAATATATTCACACTGTTGGAGAATCAACCCCACACCCCCACCACCCACACACAAAAATGTTTGATAAGGTATATCTAAGACTAGTTTCTTCCACACAATATACAGTCAATTGACTTTACAGTATATTCTGTGAAGCGCTTCAAAACTTCTAAAAGACATGATAAGGTGCTATACCAAATGCAAGGATTATTTATTATTATAGTGAACGTTGATCATGGCATAATGATAAAAATAACACTTATCTGTTATGCTTACCCTACAAAATACAGTCACTATACCTTATAGTAAAGACAGCAAAGTGCCTTGAGACATCCTCCCGATTTGAAAGACACTATATCAAATGCAAGGACTTAATGCTTTATCACATAATCGGAATGTCTCAAAGTGCTTCATAGGATTAACTCTGCTGCATCCAATTTGCATACAGCAATGTCCTGAAAAAAACATGAAGTGAATGACCAAATTATCTGGAGAATTGTTGACCAGGAGCTCGGGAAAAACTCTAAATAAAAGTGGAAGGTGGGAAAAGAGATATAATATCCAAGTAATACAGTATAGAGTTTGGGGTCAATTTATCAAACATCGATTCCATTAACTTTAAGTGCAATCCCACTTTCTGAAAAAGGTACAAGCTGATTATTAAACAACAACAATTTGTATTTATTCAGGTAGGATAAAGTCTTGGAGCACTTCACAGATAAGGTGTCAGATGCCGAGCAAGGAAAGAGGAGGATTGTAACCATAGGCACAGTCAAGGAAGTGGATGAACAATACTAAAAATAAATTAATAATTTAAATTCAACAGTAGCAAATTAAAGGATCAAATTATAAATGACAGGATTCCCACCCTGACCTCTCAGAATATAAGGTCAAGTGGCTGCTTATATATAAATAAAACAGTGATGATTCATGCTCTCTGCTAGTGAAATGTACTTGAATTCTGAAAGCTGTTTTTTCCACAACACCTGGTTTATGTCAGAATAACTCAACACAGCTGCCTTGCCCAGTACAGTCACATGAGCTTCTCCTAGTAATGAAATCTTAGCAATCTAGTCACCACAAATCTATCATTAATTATTACTAAGCACTGGAAAGAAGCTTAGTTCCACTGAAAATGTTGCATGGACTGTCAAAATTGTCTGCATCATTTTTTTGGGTGGGAGCTGGGGAGGGTCAATGTATCATACACTAATCCATTAAATTAACCAAGTTGTGTAATGCACCTTCATCCCATTCCCATTTCTCACAGTAGAAACTAGCTGCTTATTCAACAACACTACAATTCATCAGGATTAACATTGCATTTCTGAGGTACTATCATTTGACTGTACCCTTAAACCTAATAACCTAATGGTGTGGTGTGATGTGGTAGCATTCCATTAGGGGACTGGTTCAGATGGCAGTCTGCAGAAGCTATACATCTAGTAAACAAACTAAGCAAAATAATCTGGAAATAGGGTCTCTTAACCT